TGCACACCATTGCCTACTACGGCAACAAATATTGGCGAGCCTGCCTGTTTCGGCCAGAAAGGTCGAGTTAGTGCTCGCTACGCTTAGACCCAGCCATGCCTTCTCCAGCAAGAGGTCGATCCTTCGACGCACATGTCTCAGTTGCCGTTTCTTGACTCGGCGCCGTTCGATAAGCGCGGTGCCAACTCATATCCGGACTCAGCCCAAGTGCCCTTGACTGGAAACTAACCGAAGCCACAGCGTTCCCGTTGAATGCTCGATTCCAGACCCGCATCTCAGATGTGTTTCCCACCACGGTCCCACGGCGTGCCCGCCAGCGCGTTCCATGCTAGAATAGCATTTGGGCCGATTACAGTAGTGCACTACCGTTTCCGTCAGCGTTCAACGTCTTTCAGCTTTATCATGTATCCAGCCTTGCCGTTCGAGATCTGTTCGTGCCTTTCATATACACCAGTCTTTCCTCCAAACTCTTTCCTTCTCTCCTCCTCATTCCCTCTTTAATCTATCTATCTATTACTACTCGCGCTATCTTAGCAACAACAGTCTCTTGTACTATTGTACCAAGAACCAACGATCCCACAACCCCGGATCTGCACTGCTTAGTATATCGTCTTGACATTCGTTTCCTCTCACACACAAGGTCTATCACAGACCATAACCCAACATGGGTCTCAAGAACTACTTCAAGGCTGGCAAGGGCGATGCAGAGAAGAAGCCTCAAGCCCCTGCCAATGAAATGAGCGAGATTTCCGAAAAGCCTCTTGCTCCTCCTACACCAGCATTCGCCAGCGCCGCACCTTCAGGCCTCTCAACACCAAGAAATGGTCTCCTTTCCTCTGGTGCATCAATTGCACCTTCATCAAGATCGGGCTTCATGGATGACATCAAGCACGAAGTCATGGTCAACTACCTTTTCCAACAACAATGTGCCAGACTATGGGTTGGTGATGGTAGCGGCGAAGTTGAGGGTGTTCTTTTGAGAAAATTCAAGGGAAGCTACTTGGCTTGCCCTCCTTCTCTCAGCACATCTACCTTTGCCATGGCATGTGCAGCACTCAATGTGCCGGTAAGCAAATATCAAATCTTGTCAAGACCTTCCATAAATTCTAACCATGATTCAGTGCGCCATGACTGTCAACTCCCGTATCATCAAGACTTTCCTCGCCTGGTCACCAGATGCCGTCGACGTACCTCTCATGAATGGCCTCAGAGTTCAGATTCTTCCCACCATGGAAGATCTTCCTAGAGCACGCAAGCATCAATTCGCCGCCTTCATCGCTTCAGAGGCACTTCTCGTCGTCTGGGATGATGATGCCAACAACCTCGTCAACCGTGCCAAGTTGATTGAAGGCGAGCTCATGGAGCTCGTCTGGAAGACTGGTGAACCCGAAGAGGTTGTCGACGAGCCTGTGGTCAAGAAGGGTCCTGGTGTTGTCGAGGAAGAGATTGATGAGGAGAGTGGTGAAGTTCTTCCCGAGAACCGCCCAACACATCTCATGAACACCGTCCTTGTCTCCATCACCCTCATCATCATCATCACTCTTCTTGGAGCTGGTTACCGACAATTGGCCATCGAAGTCAAGGTTGATGGCAGCTATACTCGCATCGCCTTCGTCGCCCTCACTCCTGTCCAAATCTTCTTCACCCTCTTCTTCGCCCAAGTCATTGTCGGTTGTATCGCCCAAATGATTGGTCCCGTTCGCCAAATGACCCTCAACTCTCGCTTCTACTCTGCTCTGCTTCCTCGCCGCATCCAAGGCCGTAACCTCCCTCACGTTACCATCCAGTGTCCTGTTTACAAGGAAGGTCTCGCATCCGTCATTGCCCCCACCGTCAAGTCCATCAAGCAAGCCATTTCGACCTACGAACTTCAAGGTGGTTCTGCCAACATCTTCATCAACGACGACGGTCTTCAGCTTCTCGACGAGGAGGAGCGTGAGGCCAGAATCGAATTCTACGCCGACAACAGCATTGGTTGGACTGCCCGTCCCAAGCACGGTTCCGAAGGTTTCCTCCGTCGCGGAAAGTTCAAGAAGGCTTCCAACATGAACTTTGGTCTCATGATTTCTTGCAATGTCGAGGAGAAGCTCCTCCAAATCAACCGCGGCAGCGACTGGACCCAGGCCGACGAGGCTCAAGCCTATGAGCGCTGCCTCAGCGAAGTCCTCGAGGAACACGGTCGCGCTTGGGCTGATGGCAACATTCGTGTTGGTGACTACATTCTTCTCATTGACTCCGATACTCGTGTTCCTTCCGACTGTCTTCTCGATGCTGCCTCCGAAATGGAGCAGAGTCCCGACGTTGGTATCATGCAATTCAGCTCCGGTGTCATGCAAGTCGTCCACACCTACTTCGAAAACGGTATCACCTTCTTCACCAACCTCATCTACACTGCCATTCGTTACACCGTCTCCAACGGTGATGTCGCTCCTTTCGTCGGTCACAATGCCATTCTCCGCTGGGCTGCCATTCAACAAGTTTCCTACTTTGATGAAGATGGTTACGAAAAGTTCTGGTCCGAATCTCACGTGTCTGAAGATTTCGACATGTCTCTTCGTCTCCAATGTAACGGCTACATCATTCGCCTGGGCGCTTGGGCTGGTGAAGGCTTCAAGGAAGGTGTATCGCTTACCGTATACGACGAGCTGGCCCGTTGGGAGAAGTACGCCTATGGTTGCAACGAGCTTCTCTTCAACCCCATGCGCATGTGGATCTACAAGGGTCCCTTCACCCCTCTCTTCCGCGAATTCCTCTTCTCCAACATTCGTATGACCTCCAAGATCACCATTGTTTCATACATTGGTACCTACTACGCCATCGGTGCTGCCTGGATTCTCACCACTGTCAACTACTTCGTCATGGGTTGGTTCAATGGTTACCTCGACAAGTACTACCTCGACTCATGGAAGGTTTGGTTCTCGCTCGTCATCGTCTTCAACGGTCTTGGTAACATTGCACTCGCCATCATGCGTTACCGTATCGGCGACAGATCCTTGTTTGGCGCTCTCATCGAAAACTTCAAGTGGACTCTCATGCTTGCCATCTTCCTTGGTGGTCTTTCTCTTCACGTCTCCCAGGCTCTTCTCGCTCACATGTTCGAGATTGACATGACATGGGGTGCTACCGGAAAGGAAGCCGAATTCTCCAACTTCTTCATTGAGGTCCCCAAGGTTCTCAAGAGCTTCAAGTACTCTCTCTCCTTCTGTATCGTTGCCATTGTTGGCATGATCATCCTCGCCACTGCCGATTTCATCCCTTACGACTGGATGATTACCGACTTTGTCGCCATCTTGCCCATGGCTACAGTCGTGGCATCGCACTTCCTCTTGCCCATTGCTCTCAACCCCGCTCTCATGACCTTCTCATGGTAGAGTGGCTTTCCTCTCGCTTATTCTTTTTTTTTTCCTTTCTGTCCATATAACGCAGTCATTGTTTGAGATATCATTGATGTTTATTGATGTGGTCCAAAAAGGGATGACCACCGAGCGGGCGTTCCCTACATGATTTTTTCACTATTTCTCTTCATAATTCTCCTACCCAGCCTTATAGACTACATTTACTTGATACCACAGAATCATCATCATGATTTCGAATCAATCTTTTTACAACATATTCATCTCTCCTTCGTCTTCTTTTGATTAATCTGTTTTCTATCTGGCCCTATGGATTCGCCCGTCTCTCGCACTCAACCCTGTCCCCATTCTCCAGAAATACCCGAAACTCTTTTCCACATCTGTTCAATCCTTCTTGAAACAGTGTCGTCCCAAGGCAATTGCCAAAAATACTCATATCCATGGATTGCCTCTCTCTCCACCTTCCCTCCAGAAAAAAAGAACAAAACTTATCTATCGTTTCATCTTTTCAAGCTGAAGCAATTCTAGGACCCAGCCAGTCTCATTCCTTTCGTACAGCAAACCACCATCACCATCTAATTTTGGCCACATCTTTCAATAAAGAGGCGCAATTGTAGGATTGGCGTTTTGTCAAACCCCACGGATAACTGGTATGTCACAAAAGCGGTGGTCTCATAGGTGATTCATGTCTGGTCGTGCCATGGCCGCACGGACGGTAAAAGGTCACTGTGGAAATTATCACCAGCTCCTCAAGGCAACACGACTCTTGAACAAGAAAAAAGCCATCTTTGCTTTTGGAGAAACTCAAATTCCACCTTGAAGCAATTTAGCAAACAAACTAATTATACACTGGCGTCATGGCTTGAGTTCTACAAGTCCATGCAGGGTAGCCGCAGGGGTAAGTATGTGTGGCGCCACTTTCAGCCTTTCAGCAGCGCTTCTGCAAGGCACCACCAGACCAGCTCGTGCTCACCGCGACGCGTGCGCGAAAAGCAGTCTATGCTCTACTTCAGCTCGAGGGAACGAACCGCGAAGATGGAACCATGCCCCTTTACACCTTGTCGTCAACACCGAGACGTCGCCTTCCCCGAGCACTCAATGACCTGATTCTCGACCTGGAACGAGGCTTGCTTTTGTTGCGCTTGTGATGGCCCTGGCGAGCTGCATGCTGACGAGGCAAGTTTGTGTCTTGAATGGCAATGACTCTGGGTACGTCTGCGCTCTAGATCCGGAGTGTCAGTGGATATGTTGAGAAACAGGTACACACCATTGCTTACGGCTGGTAATTCTTCACTCAACATGGTAAAGCTGTTCTTGGGTAATTTGACATTATACTCGTCAACTGGATACCACAACTTTTGAAAACGTCGAATGGCCCATGGAAAGAAGATGGTGAAGAAGAGACTGATGATCAAGAGTGGGATGGAAATGTACAAACACAGAATTGCTGGTGCTTTCATGGTACTGATACCGAATACACTCTATGCTTTGTCAGGGATGTTGCAACATATTCAGGAAAGCAAAAAACTCACTGTAAGGTATGAGATTGGAAGATATAGTGCCGCAATAATGGACAAAAAGCGTGAGTAGTCGGACTGGTTGGCGTTTTCAATGTTGAACTCCTGCAAGTGATGTAAGCCTTTGCTCTCAAGTTGTGACATAGAGACTACTAACGAGTTCAATCAGATTAAGGAAACGTTCCTTGAGGGTCTCCATGTAATAAGAGTATTGGTCCAGATCTTCGACAGCGTCATCCATCTCGTCCCACACTGGATCCATGGCATCATCTGGAGACTTGTGCATCGTATCCTTTAGCTTGAGAAGCTTCTTGAATGATCTCGAGTGAAAGCGCATGTATTCGCTAAGCTCGTAAATACGGTCAATATTTTTGTGCATTTTGCGTGACCTCAGTTTGACAGGGTATTTTCTGCCACGGCTGTTGATTTCCTAATCCTTGACCGTCAGTAAGACAGGCTTCATCAAACCATTTGGACACATACGGCCTCCTCCAGCTCCCTCTCAATCTCTCGGATGATATTTTGCCAGTCACTCAGAAGCCAGTACAGCCTGAGAAAGGTCCAACAAACAGTCTCTTCGTCTCTGCGAGGCATGTCATACTCTTCGTCTTCATAAAAGTATGGAAAGAAGAGATCATGCATGACGTTCTCGGCAGGAACGTTGGATTGAGTAAAGACAAGAGTGACGGGAACCTCTCGATCAAAACGACAGGCGCGACGACCGCAGCACCAGGCAGCAACACGGAAGCGGTATTCATCAACTACTCGGGATGTCAGCTCTCTGTCATTGTTTCGTTCTACAATAGCCTACTGACTCTCATCGATGCCTTTTGAGCGACCTCCAGGAGGTTCCTTGCCAAAAGTCCACCAATATACATCTGGCACATTCATTTGATCGACAAGAAAGGACCATGGTATCTGAGTGGATCGCTTGTTACTTCGCTCAGGAAACTTGACAGTGTCGTCAAATTGCAGTGCTCTATTGAGGTCGGCGAGTTCGTCGTAGCGATCATCGATGCAGGTCTCTATGACTTGTCCGAGCCATGGCTGGAATCCGTTGAAAGTTCTGGAGCACACTCAATCAGTTTCGAATGGTTGCAGTTGCGGACTTGACTTGCATCAGTAATGGATCTTGTGGATTCATTCGTAATGTCTCGTGGACAAGCGCGGCAAATCTACTGCCATCTGCGCTGGTCACCTGGATCGAGCTGTGATAGTTTGGGGAGCGTCTGTTGCCAATGCAGACAGTAATGGGCGCGCCTTCATGATACCATGATTTGTGTCTGGGTGACCGGCGTCTGCGATGATGGCGGTTGGCTCGAGGCGAATCTCCCATACTTGTCCGATAGGTTGATGATGTGTATTTGGGTTGTTGTGTCAGATTTACATCTGAACGTCTAGGATATGGGTTCATCGTGCCTTCCTCAACTTCGACTCTTGACTCGAGGTGAGCGCTTTTATAAAAAGTTCGAATACAATCATGGCTACTTCCTCAACCTGAATCGCAAAGTTCACCAAAAATATGCGCAGTCATCTCATCATGCCCAGGCTGAACTATGGGTTGCCAGGTCAGATGATGAATCCATCAAGCCGCCCCACGTGTACAGCTGCATGTGAGGGATGAGTCCCGCCATGTAACACCATGTACCTCTTGTAGACACTTGGTGCCTTTTGCAGAAGTTCAAAGAACAGAGTATCATACAGCATATTCAGAAACACTACGACATTGTTAAGAGGAAATGGAAGAAAAAACCGCGTTCATAAAAGTAAAGCCAGACAAGACGATTAATAATATGCAACTCAAACAGGTCGTGGGTATAGTGCTGAAGGGTAAAAAAGAAGCCAAAAAAGAACAAAAAGGGGTACATGAATGTGCTCTGGAGGGTATGCTTGTTAGTCGTAATAAACAGGGACAACTTCATTCTACGGGCTGTTAGGCCGGTCATCCATTGTGCCCACATCGGTCGAATCACCTTCAATGGTTCGACGCCAGTGTTGTGGTAAGCATACACAAACCAGTGGAAATGCCTTGACCGGACCATATTCCTCAGGACTTGCTTGGCCACTGCTCATGCCACTGTCTCGTTGCAGCTTGCCTTTGCTCTGCCAATCCTCGGCACGCATGCTAACACGCACTCCTGTTGCCCAACCATCGTCCCAAATACCAACAACCTTGACCATATCACCACGTTCAAGGTCAAATTCATCGGCGGCACGAGGTTGATAGGCCCACAGAGATGATACAAGATCACCCGGGTGTATGTCGTCTTGGGAGTAATAGTCTTTGAAAAAGCTGAGTTGTTCTGATTCGGATGTGCCTTCTGGGGAGGAAATACCGTCTTGAGCAGGGCTGTCATGAGTACCGAATGCGAGAAGCGAACCGCTGGACAAGGAACCGTTTCGCCTAGGAGGGGGACCAATGCCACCAGCATGCGAGTGTGGAGTCCTCTGAGTTTCTGGTGTAGAATCAAGGGCGGTCGTGTTACGTTCTGAGCCACTCGAGACGGCTTCCAAGGCGGCCATACGGGCAACACGACCGCCAGGAAGAGCTTCGATTCTGTCGTTCTGGCTCCTGCTAGCGCCATCATGTCTATATGCCATGGCTGGTGGAGCTCCACCTTGACGCGATCTCACGGGCTGGTTAAAAACGCTCGTTGCTGGACTGGCCTGTTTTCTACGGCGCAAAAAAACGCAGGCCAAAATCAAGAGCGCAAGGAGAATAAAGACACCAAGTAGAGATCCAATCACAATTCCAGCAATTGCACCCCCAGAAAGCCCTTTTCGTTTTTTCGTGATTGGGGATGATGTTGATGATGGAGATCTCGTTGCAGTCGAAGAGGTAGCCGATGAAGTTGATGTAAAGAGGGGCTGCATGGATGAAGTAGCAACAATAGGCAAGACGACATTGTCGCAGCGCGTTGTGGTGTTCGAAAAGACACAACAAGAATCTGTGGCATTTGGCGAACTTGCAGCACAGTAAGAGCAGAGATTGACCAGATTGGAAGCAAAACCGCAATTGTCAGGTTCATTAGTGACACCTTCGATGCATGAGCCGGACAAGGAATTTGCAGGTAATGCGCAGTTGGTAAAATCGGCTCGAATTTGACTGATAGCATTCGAGCTTGCATTGCCGCATATGTCGCTTGCAACAATGGATTGTTCACTCTCGGCATATTCGGCCTGTATCAGGAAAGGTCAACACTCGCAATCAGACTTGAATGCTAAAATCATCTTACACAAGTATTGGCACACAATGGTCGAGTGGCATCTCCCGTCAGGTCACAAGGTGAGATGGAATTCTGAACAATGGCATTGCAGAGTACGCTAGCAGTGTAGCGAGCATAATAGTCGGAAGAGTTCGACGAGTCAAAGCTAGAGCAACCAATCAAGTCGGAATACCTTTGTTGAATGAAGCCGTTGGATATGTACTGCTGTAGTTGTGTGTCAAAAGAAGAGGTGTCGGTGACATTAGCAAGGAATGGAAATAGCCCGGTGAGGGTACTATCAGTTGAGATAGAGGCCGTATTGAAAGCACGGCATTCGGACGAGTCTGTCAGAGGAATGCAACTTTGAGCTTGGGCAGTTGGAAGCGTCGTGACCGTTAGAGCGAGAGCGAAGAGGGCTCGGAAACGTCCCGCTACCCTCTTCTCTACGGTCTTGGTATATCTTGTCGCTACCTCTTGCTCCAAGCTCTTTTCGCATCGCACGCGCTCATCGCTGACGTTGCCCCTTATCGTGCGCCGCGTGGGAACATCGTTGGACATTGTCTAGACGGGACTATTGCATAAAGAAGATGTATTCGAAGATGCCGTTGGAGAAATTGGGTCGTATGAATCGAAGCGGATTCGAGTTTGGACCGAGGATAGTATTATCGTTGTAGAGTAATCGGAAAAGAGGTCGCGGTGATTAAGGTTAGGTCGAAGAAGAAAATCGATCAGGGGGCGGACAATGAGCGACTGGAGGAGAAGAGATCAAAAACCAGGAAGACGAAATTGATTGAGACAAGAGACAGCGCGCGCGGGCGAGGCAAGCACGCCTCTGCTAGGTACGTTAGAAACAGCAGTCGCACACTCAGCCAGACGCTGACCGAAGACACATCGGGCCCGGCCAAGTCGAAGGAGATGTACGACGCTAAAGCCTGGCGCGGCATGCCACTTGCCGTCTGCAACCCTGATCTGCTCCATTCCACTTTCAGCCTCGGACTCTTGACTTTTCCCTGGTCCGCCTTACAGTTGTGGTGCAAACCATGACTTATGACTGCCAGTGTCCATGTCGAATAGATGCTTGTTGTCGCCATCTATAAAGCGTAAATCGCTGGTACCTCTGCGGCAGCTAGGAAGCCTGTTGTTCCGAGAATCCAGTCCCTGCATCGTGTACGCCTAATTCTTCTATATTACTAAACCTTGACACTGCCATGGTCAATATCAGAGGCCTGAGTCCTGATTCAGATCGTCACTCACCGCCAAATATCACTCACATCTTGCGTGGCAGATTTACATTCGACCATGAGCATGCAGATCGCTTGTTTTGATCAACTCTCCCAGAGACCTAGACCCACGCTCGCTTACCTTGGCAGATAGGATTTATATGGAGAACAAGTGCGCTGTCGCGTCCATCAGTAAATGACATGACTGTGTGAAGCCTTGTAGTACGTCACACACTGACAGAGCCACGTTTCGGCCAAGGAAAGAACACAACATGCAGTTCTCATTGATCAACAAGCATACAAATACGAATAATCGACCGCTTCTAAACTAGTTCCCTGCTTGCTGACTGTCTGACTTAGGTGTGCGTGTGTGTGTATGCAGCATTTCGTGTTCTGTCTGATCTCTTCCGACTCAGTTCTTGGTGGTCATTGTCAAGGCGGGTGTTCATGAGTGTGCGGGCTTGGGAGCGGTAGTGCTGTCGACTTGAACTGCAGCCGGATGCTGCTGTTGAGCACCGGCAGAGGCAGCCTGTGGACCAGCGGCAATCTCAGCAGCGATTTGGTCTTCGGTCTTCTTGTTGCCGTGTGAGATGAGGCGATTGAGGAAGGAGCCAGGTCTGCCTTGAGGGTACTTGGAGTCTTCGGCTTCAGCCTCTTCGAGCTGCTTATGAAGGTGACCAGTAGTCTCTTCGTCGAAATCCTCGTGATCATCAAAGTTGGCTATCGCAAGTGGGGTTAGCGGGGCCGAAATCAAGGACGAGGGGGGAATGCAACTCACTCTCCTTGTCGTGCATGCTCAGAGCTCTCTTGATCTTTTGTCTGACGGCCTGCATCTTGATGATTGGTGGAACTGTAGATCTTGTTGAAGCTGAGATGACAAGGCTGTCAGTCGCTGGCGTAGACGGAATGGCACGGCAAGACTTGCGTACCTGTGGTATAAGTGTATGTATTGAATTCTTTCAAATGCAGATGAGCTGAGGGAAAGGTTGTAGGATGAGGAAAGAGGAAGTAAGGTTGATTGGACGTCAAAAGACAGAACAAGGACAGACGTGAACCAGGGCAGGCAAGTGCCCTCATCCAATGCCCAGCTGCCCGCCATCACCCATCGTCATTACCCCACATCAGAGCCGATGGCGCTGTTTAACGGACCGTAAATGTCCAAACTTGGAATCGCGATCGGTCTGGATTCAAGCGCTGTTATGCGCAACTTACGCGTAACCAGCTCTCATAAGCATGCATTCTCGGTATTGATTGGCCCCGAGCAGTTCGTGATGAGGCCACATCTGGGCTGACCACCTCCATGGAAGAGCTACTTCCCCAGATCGCTATCAAGACCGAGGCTCTTCATGATCGCACGGCGCGGCCCGTGCGAGAGACGGGCGCGCGTCGCTCATTGATTTTCCTTCTAGAAAAAGTAAATACTATCCAACTGCATCTTAGCACTAGCAAGTGAATCACCGTGGTGGTCCAATTCTGGAAACGCTTCTACAGGATGTCTCTGCATTCGTCAGTTCATATTTGCTCTTCACAATTCGGCATACAACCAGGCTACGGAAGACCACTTTCCTATAGCTTGGAATTTCCTGCCTTCAGTACCAATGTCATGATCTGGCCCTGACTGGTACCGACAAGATGATCTTTGGTCTTCTGAGACCGTAGAAATCTGCAACGCTGCTAGATCACCGCTCGCCCTGTATTCACGCTTTGACATCTACGGAATATTTGCGCACCGAAACATGCCATGCCACGACTGACAGAGATCGCCACACGACCTGTCTTGGAGCTGGGCACCACAAGCTCGTAGCTTGGAAGCAGTCTGCTGTACTTCTTATTCACTTTCTAGGATCGAGAGTCTTGCTTGAACCACGCGTTACGTATCGAGAAGGGGGATATTGCCCTTGATGACAGACTTCATATCATGTCTCTGCCATCAAAGTCGTGTGTGCTCCGCTTCTTGCTGTGCTCAAAGGACAGTCTGTTCGAGTGATACTTTCTTGGAACCACTGTGCTTGACAGAACTCTCGCTAGTCTCGACATGACTCTTCATGCCATTCGGCGAATATCAACCAGGGAAACTGTACTTACAGCATGATTTTGCTAAGCCGAAGTACTCTAAGGACAAGGCTCGACCGCCATGCTAACAGCCAATTGTATTTCCGGCTTTTTGGTTGCCTTTGGGACGGAATGAAATCATTCTGAAGGCTTTGTTCAACAAAGTGAGGACGAAGACAACGTCTTTTCCACCTCCAGCAGCGTCAAAGAGAGTCGGAATATTTTTGAATGTTTTGGATACTTCTCGAGCAACACCTTGGATGATGAGGAGAATACTGAGCACACTGCCAGAACAAGATGGCTCTCTGTACTGTGCCCTCAGTCCAACCCGCATTTCTCCAGACGCCGAAATTAGAGTTCAGCACGAAGGATCAAGACTTCCATGGCCTGTAACGGCCCCGCCAAAGCGAGGTTGAGAGGCTCTATTGCTCAAAAAGGAGAGCAGTATGGGTCACTCGTGGTGTCTGATCTCCCAGAAACGAAGCTGCAAGATTGTATCACAGAGATCTACTCAGTTTTGACAGCACATATTGCTCTCGTGAACTGGAGGTCACTCAGATCAGCACAATAGCGGGACAGACGACTAGACCTTTCCATCTCTCGCACTGTCGCATTTTACATTTCCCATCCTTCACTCTTCTGCCAACCACCAAGACCATACTCGGCAGAGATAGGACGCGATAAAGGTCTGGGTATAGCGTTTACAAATGTTTGGGTATAGCGTTTACAGACATTCGTTGACATTCGTTGGCTTGTTCCCCGGACAAATTGGATGGCGAGCAAACCGCGAGTCACTTATCCATCAAAATGAGCAGAAGAATGGTGTGTTGAACGCTCAAGACCATCGAGCAATTCTCATTGATATGCCAGCTGTTAATGTGTTGCCAGTCGGCAAGAGATGCACCGAGCTGGTCTCATCCTGTGCGGGGAAGTCGTCCAGGTGGATGCGCCCTCAGTGAGATGTTATTCGGCAGTTGTTAAGACTTGATCGCAAGCAGCCACAAGGTCAAGATCGCGCGGAGGATGTACCATTTGGATCTGTACCGCCTTTGCCAGAGGCCGGTAAGAACGCCGAAGGATTGGACCCAATCGTTTAAAACCAAGCATCTCTGCCAATGCTTTTACTGTCACTCTCTCCACACTTCCCCAGACTTCACCCCATCTTTCGAGTGCAAATGGCGCTACCCCAGTCCCACGCCGAGAAGACGGTGGAAAAAGTCGAGGCTGATCAGATTGAGGATATCGAATACGTCAAAGATGGACAAGGATTGATGCACCTCGACGATGGTGCTCAACGTGCCTTGACCCGAAAGGTGTTGTGGAAACTTGACACAAGGTATGGAGACTTGACGGTGTGTTCAAGCAGATCCATGACTGACGCATCGTTACTCCAGAATTCTTCCTGTGCTTGCCCTCTTGTTCCTCTGCTCGTTCCTCGATCGTACCAATGTCGGCAACGCCAAGATCCTTGGCCTTGAAAAAAGCATTGGCATTAATGATCACCAATACGCCGTCGGATTGGCCATCTTCTTCGCTTTCTACATTGTCAGCGAGTTGCCCAGTAATCTAGTCCTCAAGAAGGTGTCTCCCCGGATATGGTTGCCATGCCTCACCTTCGCATGGGGCATTGTTGGCATGTGTCTCGGCTTCATCCAGAACTATGCTGGATTTCTTGTTGTCCGTGCCATGCTGGGTGTCACTGAAGGTGGTCTGCTTCCCGGCATGGTCTTGTATCTCTCAGGAATGTATACCCGTGGAGAACTGGCATTGAGAATTGGACTTTTCTATACTACGGCGTCCCTGTCGGGCGCTTTTGGTGGTCTTCTTGCGCGTGGTCTTTCATCTATCGGTGCTGTTGGCGGCGTGCACGCAGGCTGGCGATGGATTATGATCGTTGAGGGATTGTTGACAGCTGTGGTTGGCGCTTCAGCTTATTTCTTACTTCCGAACAACATCTCGACAGCCAAGTTTCTCACAGAAGAAGAACGCGAGTTTGCTCTGTATCGTCTGAGCAGAGACTACTCGTTTGGTATCACTTCAGGAGTGACTACCGAGCCAGAACGTTTCCGCTGGTCCGAGGTTCGACGTGGAGTGTTGGACCCGTCGCTTTGGTTCTCGGCATCTGCTTATTTTGCAATCCTTGCCGGGCTCTATTCATTTGGTCTGTTCCTGCCCACCATCATTGCTGGTCTCGGATATACTGCCAATGAAGCGCAATTGTGGTCAGTTATTCCATATGCTGTTGCAGCTTGCATCACTGTCGTTGCGGCCGTGTTATCTGATCGCCTCCGTCTACGTGGACCAGTAATGTTATGCACACTTCCATTGGCCATCATTGGATATGCTGTCATCGCAAATGTCAAGTCAAATCACGTCAAATTTGGCATGACCTTTATGATGGCAACAGGACTTTACGCGAGCGTACCTCCCGTCCTGGTCTGGATCTCGAATAACTCTGCTGGCCACTACAAGAGAGCAACAGCAACCGGTCTCCAACTTGCTATTGCCAATTGTGGTGGATTTGTCTCTGGTGAGTGACATGTGTCCATCTGTCTTGCAATCCATACTAACTCACCTCTTCTAGCCTTTACGTACAAGAAGTCGGAGAAACCACAATATCACGAGTCCCATACCACAGTCCTCGGTCTGCTTGTATTTGCGTGGTTCATGTAAGTCCAAAAAAGTCATCATTATTGGCAGAGGTCTGTCGCTGACATTCTCAGGGTGCTTTTCAATGTTCTTTATTGTCACAAGGTCAACAAGGATAAGGAAGCTGGCAAGTACGACCAGTACATTGCAAGTGGAGACGATCGTGATCCAAGTTTCAAGCTCATGCTGTAGTCCATGAGAAACCACCATCAAATACTTGATTACATAGCTTTAGACTCGAGAAGTATCGCTTCAACCAGAAGACGCAAGAATGTAAAGTAGAAATTTTCAGATCAAAATATTTTATAGGTAATGCTGTGTAAAGTGAGGTTCTTGCGATCGCGTAGTGCGGCCCGTGCGAGAGACTGCTTCGCGCGTCGGATCCGACTTCCTTCCAGAACAAAAGTAAACAATCATCACTTGCATTCAATCATCAGCATGCTCGCAACACCGTGTTGGTGACCATCTTGACACCAAAACTCATGTGTCGTCTCGAGTTGCTGGGCCTGCTGATCCTCACGCTTCACGCTCGAAAAGCCAAATCTAGTCGAGACAGTTCAGACGACAACCATCTGGCTTCACGAGCAGTGCACCTGCAATGCTCCACGAGGTCCTACTCGCCCTCAGCGGGCATCCCTCGCCATTGTTCCCTGCAACCGCCCCGCCCGGTCGATCGTCTGACGACTTTGTAGACAAAGACTTTCCGCTATTGTCATCATCGGAAGCTGCTCTCTTGGCGACGGTGGGCAAGCTTGCCAGTTTGCATCGTCAAATTCGAGACCACGCAAATCGCATTCTCTCTCAACATCCCTCGACCATATGTCGTGCTGTAGCTGCATCGTTGCTGCAAACCCATCTTGCACGTTTCCGTGAGAAGATTCTTGATGTTGAAAGGCAAATCTTGACCAAAGATGCTGCTATAGTGGGTGCATACAACATTGTACCCCTCTCTGCAGTAGTTGGTGAGTTCGATGGATGGAGTCGTCGCATGGAATGGTATTGGAGCCTTGCATGCTTCATCCAGCCTCTAGACGCGCACAAGTCTGTGCCAGCAACTGGGGCTGCGGTTATCAATCATCTACGGTCAGAGATGCAGACCGGATTCCCCGATATTGAGACTGCAGCGACAGAGCTGAGTTGTGTTGCTGACAAGGCATGGTTGAAACAAGTGTCTGCATGGCTACTATACGGCTTGCTTCCTAGCCACGGCGCTGATGACTTCTTTGTCTCCGTGCAGGAGTCCGTTGAGGGACCGCCATCATACGCTCTGAGACGCGAATTGCTGCCCAAGTTTGTTTCGCAACAGACTGGAAACTCTTTACTGTTCATTGGAAAGTCCTTACACCAAGTCAAACAGCATACACAAGGATCATCAGCATCACACATCCTTCATAGTAACGAGGACGCTTCTCTTTTGGATGCACATCTCCAATCTCTTTCTTCACTATCATATCCCCTAATTCCTGCTGCATTCTCCACCACAATATCATCAATACGCTCATCGCTATCGCAAAAGGTTCTCCAGCGCCTACTCCCACCAAATGAGATCAAGCTTGTATTGAACACCTTCCGCCAAATCCTTCTTCTGGATAGGGGTGAATTTGCTGTCTTCTTGATTTCCGAGGCAGCAGACAGACTAGATGCCAGAAGAGTCGAACATGGCCGATATCTGCAGGAGCCCTCTGGAAAGGATCTGCGTGGTGTCATGATGAAGGAAGGCGAAATCAACGAATCGCTTTCACGAACATGGAAAGCATTGACATCACTACAAACCGAGGATCTCGAAGACGATGTACTGGAATATGCCCGAGAGAACATGCGCCTAGAGATTGACACACGAAGAGCCACCTCCAGACCAACAACCTCGGATGGAACAGCCTTGGATGTGGCAGGTCTATCCAGTACCTCATTCAACGACCTCCTGTTCCCTGTTCCGACCCTACTCACAATGCAAATATGCTCACCACTCGACCTCTTCGTCTCGCGCGCCGACATGGATCGGTATTCGGCACTTAATGCATATCTATTGAGTCTACGTCGAGCACATATGCGCTTGTCCAATCTCTGGCGAGAATCTGGCTCACGCCGCGCAGTCGCAAATCCTACTCGCTTAAGTGCAGAAGCAAGGCAGGTCGCTCATACTCGTGGTATTGCTCAACGCAAGGTCTGGGCTACATGCAGTGCAGCTGTCTTCCTCCTATCAGAAACCACAGCATACTTTGAAGGCGAGCTGATCACCAGCTCATGGGACACCTTCTACTCGTGGGCTACTGCTCAGCATCATGATCCTGAAACACTAGGACGAGCCCATCGCTCGTTCCTCGCTGCACTGTCCTACACAATCTTGCTTACTGACGCGGTCTATACACGATCTCTCCGTGATTTGCTCACACACATAGACGCATTAGTCGCACTTTTTGGCCGTCTACAACGTCTCCAACAGACATCCAGTCTCGGCGTAGGTGGTACAGACTTCCTCGACGAGGAAGAGACAGAGGTAGCACGCGAACTTGACCGGTCTCGCAAGCGTGTCGATGCTGCCCTCAAAGACGTGGTTGCGAGGCTGCGACAGTTGGACCATGAGCGTTTGGGTGCAGCAAGGTATCTCCAAGTCGATGCTCAAGACACGGGCTTCGAGGTCTGGCGAGGCGGAGGTGTGGACAGATTATTGATGAAGCTGGACTTTGGTAGGATGAGTGGTGGAGAGGAGTATATCGTCTAGACTGCTGGGTGACAGATCAACTATCCTATACCCTATCCTTTTGGCTCTCAATCGAACAAGACGAAATCAGCGAGCATTTAAATGTGCGTAAAGTTGCGTGTGACCGTAAAATGTCTCTTCCCTCTCATACAAAACACCTCCTGAATCACTCAAACCTTCTACCAAATACCCAACCACTTCTTGATCGGCCTCCTCTTACCCTCAAAATCAGTATACGTCTCTCCAGCGTTTTCCTTATCAACCGTCGTAGCCTCCAAGACCTCCCTCTCCTTCTGTACCTCCTTGCTCACAGGCATCTCATTACCCACAGCCCCCAAAACCTCACTCTCCTCCTCCTTCTTCTCTCCACTATCTCTAGCACTCCAGCCACCAAACACACCCTCTTCCTCGTTCAAACCATGTGCTTTTCTAAACTCTGCCCTCTTTCTCACATCGTCGACTTTGTTTTTGCGGAGCTCGGCGGTCTGGATGGAAATGTATTGGGAGTGAAGATTGTAGACTTCGGCGTAACGAGATAGGAATGCGATGGGATGAGAAAAGAACATGTTGTTGGGTGGTAGTTGGTCGAGGTAAGGCGTGTTTGTCAAGAAGTTGTTGAGCCAGGTGAAGAAGGCGAGGGAGATGAGGATGGACTGTTGTGTTTTTCGTAAGCATATTATTCTTGTGCGCTACCGACATGGTGAGAAAAGTCTTACCATGGTGATCCAGACGTGAATGGTGCGATTCGTGAGGAACCAGTGGAAAAAGGTTCCCTCGGGTGGCATCATGTGTGGGTATTGCTTCCTCTTCTGCTGTTCCTTCTCTTTGGCACTCAAAGGCACTTGGAAGGCAGGTTGTCTGTTGCGGCGGGGTAGGCGAGCGGGGTGAGACGGCGGGTTGAAGCGTGTAGGCTTCTCGAGTAGTCGGCCTTTGGGTACTGGTTTAGAGCTGGTGCTGGCGGGGCGCGAGGCCAGGAGCGAGCGGGCGAGGATAGAGGTCTGTGGGTTGCGCATATTGCGCAGAGTGAGCTGGCGTGATAATTGGAGTGCTGACATTGTCGACATGGTGTATGTTGGGTCAAGGCGCAAGACGGAGCTGTTGGCGATGGTGGTAGAAAATGATCATGACAGAGCCTCGGCAAAAACTTCCCTCCAAGATGCGGCCAAACCATGCCACCTCCGAGTGATCGACGACATATGCATCTGTCAAGACCCTGGAACTTTTACAACCACTTGGCACTGCATGACAGTGCATCTTCTTCTATAGTATCTATTTTGACTTCTGTCGAGCTTGAACAGCCCTTCTATTTCTGCTTCTTCTCACTCTTGTCAACCTTGACTACCGAGGGAAGCGAGGTAAAGACGCTTGGCCAAACCAGCTTGTACTCTTCTTGACGCCCATTCAAGCAATGACGGAGCCACACTCCCCACACAATGTAAAAGTATGCTCCTGTTCCAGTCATGAGATGCCACCATCCATGTCCCTCGAGGAAGATTCCCCAAGGCAGTCCAATCTCGTGGCGCCACTTACGTAGCCGCGAGCAGTACATGTTGTCCAAATTCCAGATACCAAATCCGCCTAGGAAGATGCTCAGTCCGCATGCAATCATGAGCCACATGGTCTTGAGGATCTTGCGGTCTCTGTCATCACGACGTTGTTGTTCCTTGTCACTAATGAGACTCTGACCAGGCGCAGCTTCTCTTTCTCTCGGCTTTGGGCGGATGTCGCGCTCCATGACATACATGGATCGGAACAAGACAATTGCAGTCAGGAGGGCATACATGTTCTGGTGGAAGACGGGGTCGCCGAGGTAGTGGTAGTAGGCCGTGATGAAGATTGACAGCGCTACCAGGAAGACTGCAAGCAACACGCGAATGGGGCCCGTCTGTTTGTGCGAAAAGGTTGCGTAGAACATGAGGCAGGTAGTGTAGATCATGGAGAGTTCGTCGACCAGTTGCATGGGGTCTGCGTCGAGACAGGGTTAGCGGGCTTCTAGGGTGGGCAATTCAAGGTACCAACATTTAAGGGTCGAGTGGAAGAGGAAGCTGCCAGTTCCAACAACCAGATAACCGAAGAAGGTCACAAGGAAAATGCGGTCATGGCCATTCTGAATGCAGTTGTTGATGCCACGGAAGGCCAGCCAGACAAACAGAAGGTTGGTCAAGGTGTTGACAATCTCAGCTGAATAGATGGTGGCATAGTAGTCCTGGTCCTTGTCAGACTCGCGGGTCGAGGTCTCAAGGATAGATATGACGAACCTCCTCACACCAGTTAAGTGTTGAGGTTACAGGACTCCAGTAGCCCTCTCCAGAGGGAGGATACGGTATTGAGGGTAACATAGACGCCATCAAGAGGGTACACAGTTGACGGAAGCTTCGGAAGATGGTGAAGCGAATGTGGACGGAGTTGGTCGAACTGAAACACCAAATTGACCGAAACCAAAAGAGAAGGTCCTAGGAGGATTGCGAGAAAAGGAAGGAGAGGGGTTCTGAGAAGGCACAAACTTGGAATACGCGCGACTTTTGTTCAAACGAGCTCGTTCATGGACCAAAAGGTGCCAAGACGCGTGTCATCGAGCCGCGAGCCGGGCAATCACATGCCGAACTTCTGTCATCCCACTCGAGAGCTCCAGCAAACATTGAACAGAGCAAATACAACAAACAGACACTCGCCCAACATGTCCATGTCTCCGGCTGATATGCAGAAGGTCGGTTCTGTTGACGAAACACTTGCTTGACACGCCCTGACTTGTTGTACAGCTCCTGCAAGAAATCGAGCAAAAGGCTCAATTCTGCCAGCAACAGATGGTCATTGTCAAGACCCAGATGAACACAAAGAACCGCGAAAACCGCATGCTCCAGCTGACTGCTGCCGAACTCGACGGTCTGCCATCCGATGCCAATGTCTATGAAGGTGTCGGAAAGATGTGAGCTCGCACAGCCCACCAACCATGAACATATCATCTCCTGACGCTGTCATCCTAGGTTCGTCGCAAGCCCAAAGACCGACGTCAAGGTCCGCTTGACAAAGGACCAAGACACCATCAAGAAGGACATGGAGGGTCTGGAGAAGAAGATGCACTACCTCGAAACAACGTACAACAACAGCAAGACCCACTTGGACGCCATCTTCAAGAACGGCGGCAGATGAACTCTGTGACAGTAACACTAGTCGCCAAACACACGGCTTGCGTCTTGAGCATACTCAGCATATTCCATTGTGGTCAGAGCCGAGAGCACTCATGGCCATCATTCTGTCGACGCTCTGCTCGAATCTGCCAGCCACGATTCACAAACAGACGTCAGGATTGGGGACCGTTTCAAACGAGGCAATGCCACAGGCTCAAGACCTGTTAAGACAAGCTCGGTGAGCGAGCACCTCTTATATTAAGGCAGTACATGCTCATGGACGAGCTCGCATGCCGCATTGCACAACTAAGTGCGACTGCTTTGTACGCAGTGCCAAGATTAGAAGTTGTGCACTCTTCGGAGAATACACCATTTGACCTTTCTCCTAATATGTCTTATCGCATCCTTCAAATCTATATATGCAATCTACTGCAGTCCATGCTGCATCTCGCCGCCCCATGATCCTTCAGCTCCAACCTAAAAATTGCCATGCTGTTGCAACAAAAGAGTTCGCTTCAAGAGCCTACTTGATCTCAGCATCCTCTGCACGCGAGTGTTCTATTCTCCAGCAATCTCAATATAGCTAACAACCAGCAGCCAAAAAGCAGCAAGAGCGAGGCGCCTGTTTCAAGACAAGTAAACCACGCGCGCGGCTCATGCAGGAGCTCAGATCGCCAATCGCCGTCTGCAGCAGCTGGCAGCTGCAGTAGTCAGTGGGGTGAACCACCCCCCTCCTCCCACTTCTGCCAACAAACTATTTACACCCTGACCGGTTGGTCACAAACGAGACAGGGCAGAAGCCTGCAAGCCGCAGCATGTCTGGCATTCACGTAAGCACTTTGACCAAACCCAAGTCGACCAGTGTCCAGGATCTCGGACTCCAGAAGGCGGTGAGGAGTACCATTTGTGACAAGCCATGATGCCCGTCGGCATGTATCAGTCATGATGGCTATTGGTGAGTCCATAGTGGAGGCTTCTTGTATACAGCGCTATACGCGGGCGGTCACGCGTGATCCTTCGCCTGTAGCCTTTTTGTCCTTTAGCTCGTCAGCAGCCTTGACTCTTTCATCTTCTTCTCCCGAACATACGGTAGGCTGAGACTCTGTGTCATTGCCCTCAAGATTTCTCTTGTGTCTTTGCCTGGTCGTTTCTGCGATTTCTTTTCTGCTTTCCTATTCTTCATTCTTCAGCCAGGATTATTACCTTCATATCACATTCCTCTTATCTTGTTGAGGGGTAATTCACAAACGCATCTTACTCCTCCCTTGCCGTCGGTCCAGAACCTCCACACCAACACCTCAACTTACAAACAATGGAGTACTCTTCATACGAGTATGATCGCTGGGATAGTGATCCTCGACCACATGCGCGCTACTATCGACACTCCCATCGACACAGCGGCCACCTCACACCCGAGCCACAATACTCCAACTTGCACCGTTCACATTCGCAAGGACACAATGTCCCTCATCCCACAAACATCCACATCTACAACAAGATACCCGTCAACCAAGAGACGACCGCCGACCAGCGAGCAGACTCAAGGCCTCCTCCTATGCCTGCGCCCATGCCACCTCCACCACATTTTCAACCAGTGCCCATGATGGCACCACCGCCCATGTTTGTCCACCAACACGTTCCAGTAATGCAGCCCGCACCTCCTCCGATGATCGACCCCCACGCCCTGCATGCTCAACGTCTAGGCGAACAAGTGCTCGCCGAAGAGTTTGCAGAGATGCGTTTACACCGTCAACGCTCTCATTCTCGTGGTCGCTCGCCCGACGATCGTCTCCGCTGGGAACTCGAACAGCAACGCCGCGATGCAGCAGCAGCAGAAGCCAAACGCCAACGTGAAGAAGAAGCCACTGCTTTGAAACTAAAGTTCGAACTTGAAGCCGAGCGTGAAGCCGCAAAACGCAAGAAGCAAGAGGAAGATGCAGCAGCAGAGCGTGCCCGCGTGATCGACGAGCACGAACGCAAACTCGCCGCCGACGCGAAAGCAGCCGCAGACGCCGAAGCAGCATTTAAACTGAAACTCGAATTGCAAGCACGCGAAGAGCAAGAACGCGAACGCAAAGCCTACGACGACTTCCTCCGCAAGCAACGAGAAAAGGAAGAAGCAGAGGAAAAAGCATACCGCGACGCCCTCCGCAAGCAAAAAGAAAAAGAAGAAGCCAAGGAGAGAGAATATCAAGCCTTCCTTCGCGAGCAAAAAGAAAAACAAGAAGCAGAAGAAAAGGCAAAGAAAGAAGAACAAGCACGCATCGACTCTGCCATGCGAGCACGTCTCGAAAAACTAGGCTTCTCCCAGCACGACATAGAAATCGCACTCGACCCAGAAAAAGCAGAAAAGGAAAAGAAGAAAAAGAAGAAACACAGACATTCGGAAGATGTGTTTTTTGACGACGATGTCATTATGGTGGGTGGGCCTCCGACCTTGTCTGAAGCTTCTCCTGCTATAGCCGTCGGGTTTCCTCAACATCATGTTCCCGTGTATCCGCGCATCAACCGCAAGTATCTGGATATAGAGACTTTGGAGCATTATCGTGTGCCTTGGGAGTGGGATCGTGTAAGTCAATATCTTGGCTCTGGCGCTTATCATCACAGATTGCGAATGCTGACTCCACTCAAAATAGGCAAACTCCGATTTCATCATTCTCCTGCGCGAACTTGACAAGTACGAGACAGATGTCCTTTTCGAACACACGCGTCGCCGTCGTCAAGGTTCTTCTGCACATTTGACCATCGACAAGGTCAAGGATTCGGCACCAAAGCTTGCTTTCGTCAGACGCAAGAGTAAGGAGAGATCTAAGAGTAGAGGCAGGGATATCAGAGTCACCGAGATTGTGAGACGTTAGATGTTTGAGCGATGACGCGAAAGAACAGGGAGGGAGAGGACAAGTCTTGTTGCAGATAGAGAGTGTACACGAGAAAGAGATGTTGCATCATGTTTCATGAGGTGCTGATCTGGCCTTGAAGTTGTATCCCTCTTCTAATCGATCTATGAAGTCGTATTGATCCGTTCCTTGTCCCAACGTCTCCATGGGCATGATGACCGCACCGACAGTATCCCAATCTGCTCATCTCAAGACACTCCTCGAGCCGCCTGTTTGGCTCTTCTTGGGAGACTTGGTGCTTTGCTTCTTTGGGTGTTACCTCAGTGCACACCGAAGGAGTCTTCCTGACCCTATCCATGCCGTGTTTGGCACAGAAATGGTCGAGAATAATATCATGAACCTGTGCGAACGAGGCTTGCTCAAGTATCGACCTTGTCCAAGGCTTCGAGGATCTCTTCACCAACGCCGCCTTTCTCGACAACCATCTTAATCATACGAGCCACAAGGCTACGGCTCACACCACCTCTGGGTGGTCTCCACACTCCACTGTCTGTTTCCCTCACTGCCAGAGCTTCTGCCTTTGTCGGGGCAGCGCCTCCAGTGGCAGTGTTGAGAACATCAGGCGTGCCAGCGCCTGTCAACCTCGATGGCGGATCTACCATTCTGACGGCCATAACGGCGAGTTGTTTCTCTGCTGCAGGAGCGACACTGACAGCAACGACTGAATCTGCAACTGCGAGTTCGTCGCCGCTGGGATCGAAAAGGATGTTTGGACCTATTGAGCCGAGGAGGAGTGTGACGGGAGGCTTCTGGCCTGAAGGATAGAGAGGTACAGCAGCGTCCCAGTCGTCATTGAATAGAGGGTCTTCGTCTTGTTCCGAGATGAGGGCTGGCAAATTTGTGTGTTGGAGTGCGAGGTGTGTTGTTAGCGAGAGGAGGGGCAGAGGGTATGATAGCGGCGCGGAGAGTAGTAGAATCTATAGAATGAATTAGCAACAACTTCTTGCGACAGGTAGAGCAGGGACTCTGTCTTACGTCGATGTACAGGCGCCAGTGGAAACGACGGTTGATGTACAAGCGATCCTTCAGCACTTCGGTAGCCAGCAGACTTTCGCGCAGCATGGCGCCCAAAAACACAGGCAGCGCATCGTCGTCTCTGTAACCAGGCATCTCAATCTGCACCTCGACCCAAGTGTCCCTTCCTTTCTTGCCCTCGTCTCCGTGACCCATTCCTCCCATCTCAATCTCAGCACCTCCTGCGGTTCCAAGGCTACTGTCTTTTTCTGTCTCGCCAGCATAGTCCCGACCGTATCCAGCGCTCTTTTCTACTTCTGCTTTGACGCCGACTACTGCTTCTGTGCCATCGGCGAAACAGATGCGTGCGGAACCATTTGCTGAGGGCAGGATTTCGGATTCGGCGATCAGAGGTCGGAATTGAGTGGGACTGCGGCCGTCGGGACGAATGGGCGGCGTTTGCGACAGCGACTTGTGTAGGTAACTCAGCTCAGCTGGCGAGAGGTTTGCGCTTGTTGGCGCCATTGTGTCGATATATGTCTGTGGTTTTTTGCGAAAAGGGTTGAGAAATGGCGGATGAATCTCCTGGGATATTTGTAAATGCGATTGGCGTTGGTGTTGGGCAGTCAGTTGAGTTGTGCCAGGCGGGTTATTTTTTCTTTGCGATGGTCTCTACGTAATTGAGGAAGCTGCGATTCAGGATGGAAGCTTTTGGCGAAGGTCATGGTCAAAAGTCATGGCTTGCTCTTGGGGGCAATGCAACAACCATCTTTTAATCACTCCATTTTCTGAATCCAATGTGTCCATATATGACCTCGTCGACAAATGCATTGAGTTACTTGTAAACACATTCATTCCAAATCTCAGTTGTAGAAGTAGTTTGTGCCAGATGTGTTGGCCTCGCTTGGATGTACCTCTTTCCCCAGATCTCCAGACAGCCTTCCTGACTTCACGTCCTCATTCCACTCGTGCCTCAATGACCTGCAAACATACCTTTTGTTCCGCTATATATGTTGATCTGCGCATAGATGAAAGATAAAAGTTGACATCAAACCGGTAAGTGTGTGTCTCTATTTGCTTGTGTCAAGAAAGAGCATGGATGCAGTCTGGCTATACGATTTAAACATGTCTTTCAAGTCTGTCTATGGAAGAGAAAGCTTTGGACGTGGTCAAACGGTGAAGGGCTGTCATTCGTTCCTTCTCGTAACTCCTCCTCGTGGGAGAAGGACATCGTAACAACCTATGGTTCATGCGAGTCTGAACGACAAAAGGCGTAACAGCATTACTCCTACACTGGCGCATCTGTCATTCTATAGGCTGTCTCCGTCTCCAAGATATGGTCTGTGGCATGTTTACTATGCATGGACACATGTGCAGGGAAGCACCATCTACACATAGTCACCAAACATACTGCATAAGAGCCTTGCTGGGCATGTTCAGACAGCAACTTCCTTTACTGGAGCAACCTTAAGTCTGCTTGTCTCTAACTATATACATGGTCTCGCCGTCGCGCCCGCCATCGACCGAATGTGTGGCTTGGCCGAGTGGTAGTGATCAAAAGGGATTGTCTTGGCCGTGCCGGGTCAAGGCATCTAAACTGAGCAGTGCTGCATGGTTGGTGGCCTTAAGGTCGCACGTTCGATTCTCGATAGCATCATCTATTTGGCGGAATTGGGCTCCTTTCGGTACATCACAAGTGAGCCCTTCCGCCGAATCAGCTCTGACGCGAATCCTCGTGGCCTAGGGGGAAGGTGAAAGTTGGCTCCGCAACTTTCACCGCAGAGGGGGTATGCCTACAGTCACTTGCAACAACGCACTCAGCGAGTGAGTGGCCTAGGAACCCACAATCACCTCGCCCAGCGGAAAGGTTATACGCTGCGGCTGTCTTTCGGGGCAGTTCGTATGTAGTCACCGGAACGTCGCCATTTGTGGAGTCGGGAATCATGAAGTGAAAATCACTTGAGCATCAGTAGCAATACAGAGCGCACACTGATGGAAGCTTTGGTCCGGAATTTTTTCTTCCAAGACACATCAATCATGCAAGCTTGCTTGCCTCCAATATCAAACAACCACACGATCAAGCTATGCCTCACTTGAGACAACGAAAAAACAGTCTGATCGAAACAAACTTAAATTGCGACTGTTCAAACTCATCTCGCACCGCCTTTGGCTGGCTTGTCTGTTTTCACAGGCTTATCTGGTCCTTCTGGTCTCTTCCAAAAGCCACAGACCTCTGCCATACAATCAATGCCTAGGACATCTCCAGCACCATCAAACTGTACTCTTCCTCCGCCAGAGTTCATGTCTTCTACCATCTCGTTGACCAGCTGAACAAACGTTTGGTTGCCGTTCGCCTTGGACGCAGTCGGCCCACCCCCATGACTGTCCCAATAACTGGTCTGCATATCTTCGCAGAAGTAGTAACCACCAGGCTTGACTGTCTTCCACAGGTGCTCGAGACTTTTGATTTGTTGGTTCATCGTGTGACCGCCGTCATCAATGATGATGTCAAAGTCACCACCGCTGTCTGTGATGAACTCTTCGAGGAATGTTTCATCCGCTTGGTCTCCTGTGAAAATGGTCGCTCCACTCGTCTTGCGAGCCCATTTTCTTGCGCAGCGTTCGTCATACTCGATGAAGTAGAGGTCCACGTAGGGAAAGTATTCGAGCCACAAATTGTAGGACGCTCCAGGACCGTAGCCCATGTCACAGCCAAGGCCAATCTCGAGCATCTTGATGCGCTTCATTCGGAACGCAGGCAAATACTTTTCGTACATGTGGTGGTAGCTGTGGGCTGTGACTTTGTCTGTTCCATATTTGGCAGCAACTTCGTAGAAGCTTGGTCGGCTGAAAATCGCGTCATCAGCCAGGGAAAACCAATTTGGATTCATGGTCTTTTCCATACCGCCAGAGCTTCTTTGCATTCGGCACGCCTCCGCGCTGGTGAAGTGCTGCAATTATGAATAGCAGCGATGCGATTGCACCAAGAATAATTGGCAGTCGGTGGGGAGCATGAACGGCCATGGCAAGCATGCAAAAAGCTGTCGCATTGAGGTAGGTGCAGTTGACGTGAGCTAATATCCCACACAGGTTCACGCAGTCAGAACTTGGTTTGTGGAGATATGTATCGAACCACAGCCCTGGCGTCGTTCAAACTTCGCCCCTTGCATCACAACCATGAGGTTGCGGACCTCGTACCTTTTATCTCTCCTATCAGCATCGAGACTTCTTCTAGACTCGCGGTCGCAACTTCAGTCGAATTCCTCAATCTCGGCCCGTAGGACAAAAATCAAGTCCCGCGATTTGAGAAATGCTGACAGAACAAAGACCAAAACATTCAGGAGCAACAACATGTGTAGTGGACGCGCTGCACCTCGAAGTGTTTTGACAATTTCATTATATCAATGGGTTTCTACGAGACCAATCTGGCAGTGCTGGCTGCAGTAAGCACTTACTTGCTCTATCGGCAACATCAATCCGAAAAAGAAAACTCGGCAGCGGAGGCGGAGAGTGGGATGAAAAGTGTACTTGGGCAAGATGCAATCAAGAGATTCAAGAGATCTTTCTTCCCAGCATATGCTCTGGTGTGCGCAGCCGACTGGCTTCAGGTAAAAGCCAATCTTGATTCATAATGGAATTCCAGCTGACTTGTGTGAAGGGGCCTCATATCTACGCTCTCTACAAATATCACAAACATCTGCCAGAAACGACGGTGGCTGCTCTCTATGCAAGCGGCTTTGTTGCAGGCGCTCTCAGTGCCTCGTTCGTTGGTCAGTTGGCTGATAAATATGGTCGGCGAAACGCATGTCTGTTGTACTGCATCATCTACACGATGGGTTGCTTTACTATGCTCTCTGATGACTTACTCGTCTTGTTTGCCGGTAGGGCTTGCGGTGGTATCAGTACAACACTACTGTATAGCGTTTTTGAGACTTGGATGATCGCCGAGTACCATGATCAAGCCTTGGATGCCTACGGATTAAGTCTGGGAAGCATGTTTGGAAAGATGACCACGCTCAGTAGCGTTGTTGCAATCGTCTCTGGTGTGGTCGGTGATTTTCTGGTCAAATCACTGGACTCAAAGACGAGCCCTTTCATGGCTAGCGTGACTTGCTTGGTACTGGCATTCATCTTCATATCGAAGCGTTGGGTAAGTTGTTCTGAGGGGCAAACCCGAGACTATGTTGACAGGTTCAGAATGAAAACTATGGAGACAGTGCAAGCAGCAAAGACAAAAACGGAGAGTCCATCGATCTCAGCAGTATTCTCTTTGGTACCAAGTTATCCAAAACCGTTCATAGATCATAAAGGCTGACCTTGTGCAGATCCAAAGATTATATCAGTTGGCCTTGCTTCCTGCTTCTTTGAAGGGAGCATGTACATGTTCGTCTTCTTCTGGTCAGCGGCGCTTTCCACTGTTCATGCTGCTGTTGGCTTCACCGATCCACTTCCCTTCGGTGTAGTCTTTAGCTCCTATATGTGTTCAATGATGGTGGGCTCCATAGTCTTCACTCTTGTCCCACCATCCGATGACAAAGCACACTATATCCTCAAGATTGTATTGACCAGCGCAAGCATCTGCTTCCTCTCCAGCATCCTGCTCAAGAGCGAGGCATTGGTCTTCTGGGCATTCTGTCTTTTTGAGTTGTGCGTGGGTGCATACTTCCCGAGTATGGCCTCGCTGAAGGGCAAATTGATTCAAGACGGCAGTCGTGGTAGAATATACGGTGTTCTCAGACTACCACTGAATCTTTTCGTCATCACAGCACATAGTCTTGCTGAAGAAGGTATGAATTCCACATCTTATTACTGTATAACCCTGGCTAACACAATCAGGCGACCTACATCGTAATAATGTGTTCTTGACTTGTGGTGGCCTTCTGATAGTCACTTTTATCGTCGTACAACGTTATCTCACGTACGAATCCTGATAGACTGAGACCCAAGTGCATGACAGCAGTAATACAACGAAGATTTATGCCATTTGTGAATCGCTTTGCAAAAGTACTCAGCAGCTCAAATCAGAGAAACATTTTTGAGAGGCATCAGCTCATTCCTGTTTGGCATCTGAGGTGAAGCAGACTAGACAATTGATCAGTCACAAGAAAGGCTATTGAGCATCATGGTCTGTTACAAGGTTCACTGAGGATTTCATACTCAGTATCAGTACCGGATCGTGAAATCATGAGGTCTCAATGGGCTTGAAAGCTTGTTCTTTTGGGAAGGTTTGTCTGTGGAACTTTCAGAACCAGGATTCGCATTCAAAAGGCAGGTGCTAGACACTTGCTCAGTGCCTTAGAGTCAGCAACGACTCCATCGTTCTTTCCGTCATCCTCACTGCCGGGTTTCATCGATCACTCACATCGCTGTCGGAGGGTCGTCACCTCCAGCTATATAATCTGCTTTCTTTCCAACTCTCCTCTTCTCTTTTCCTTCCTCAACAACAACACAAGGATCCACTCACGAGTTTCCCTCTCCATCAATCATACACCCTTGCCTTCCATCTCTCATCAACAACCCAGACACCACACCTCCTCAACGCAACGACGCCCAAACCACACTCATGCCTCAAATTAATCAAAAGGTTGAGCTCGAGTGCGCCGGCTGCGGAAAAGTTCGCGGCATCTATGAGTTTTCTGCCAGTCAGCGCCGCAAAGGCGATGATGCTACTTGCTTGAAGTGCATCCCTGAGATCCAGAATGTCAGACCTGGTCACCTCAAGCACAGCGTTGACAACAGTGACGCAGAGTACCTGGCCGTATGCATATTTGCATCATCACTGCAACCACAAAGTGGCTAATAGCATATCTACAGCACGCCAGTGAGCACGGAACCAGTACCCGTGGCTCCTCAGGCACCGAAACTGGCGGTGTTCGCCTTCCCAACTCCTTCATGAACAAGACTGCCACTGTCGCCGGCACCAACACCGGCACTGGGACCCGCACCACCAGCACACCTTCGACCGCAGCCCCTTCATCTTCTCGCTTCTCTTCTGCAACCAGCACCAGCGAGCGTCCCGCTCACTTCGAACTTCGTAACACCGGTTGGATGCATGTCAGAAAGGTGAGTCGTGTTGAGTCCTTTCTGTTCTGATGTTTAACTGACGTTCGTCGTTAGGACTTTCGTGAGGAAATCGTCCCCAAACTTGCTGACGACGAGGTTGAGACGTTCAAGGACGGCAGTGACGATGAGGATTTCGACATGTAAAAAGGGATCGAAGGCTATGAAACCAAGGAAGGCGATCATCGGGAAAATCAACATGCAATCAGATGAGGGCAGCTGATCAAGGGCAGCAACTAATGCAATAGTTCTCACAAGACATCAATTCAGATTTATCTAGGTCCTTGTCTTTTGCCTGTCAGCTTCATCGTGAATGCATTTTCGGCATGACTTCTCTGAATGCTTAAGTGCATCAATACTTGCTCTTTTTTGTGTATTCTTCTGTGCCATGATTGTTTGATCTTTTGTTTGTGAATCATCTCAACTCTCCCGCTGAACAAGCTCAATCCGGCCCTTTGTTGCAGACTCTATGCACTGGTTTCCTACTTATGAGTGTGAGTCTCACAACACTTTGTCCAGGGCTCTCCGCTCCCAAGTGTGTGGATCGCCTGCGCTGATTATAGCAAGACTCTAAGGAAGCATCGAGAATATCTGCAGTGACTTCAACATTCTCCTAATTCGTGACCATCGAGCTGCTTCATGTTCATTCTCATAGCTTGTGAATGTTTTCCTACACCTTCTCAGATATGTGCTTACCTCTTCTTCATCACAGAGATGCATGTTTGAGGAGCTCGGGAGACACACTATGAATAGCGGGAAGCTTGTTCTCCTGAACCACATTGCCCCTTCCGAAACAAGCCTGTTCTCCCGGCTTTGGCCTCGTGTTCAATTTTCCGTCAGAAGGCTCTGGAATTTCTGGCTAGTGTCACTGCTTCGAGTTCTCGGAGAAGACTATGACTGAATGGACACTCTACAAGTTCTCGGATTGAGTCTACGGGATGTTGGTGTTACTAACACCCTTGTGGTGTGATTGATCGCACGGTGAGTAGTTCGTTACGACAATATCATTTCGTACACTCTGCCTCTGGTGGCTAGTCTGTGTCCTCAAGATTAAATGTGTTGGGCGAGAGATATGAAGTCAACAGATGTTGTTCAAAATTCACACAAGTCCAGCTGCTGAGAGGATGACCCTGTTTCACACATCAACCACACGACCAAATAACAAAGGATGTTCAATGACTACTATCGTGCGTCCATTTGAGCATTCGCCAATACCCTCGTCGCACTATAGATTTGGACGCAGCTTTTAATAGTAAGCAATTAGACAACACCAGTCAGAAGTGAGCAGGAGATCTGAAGTTTTATCTCATGGCAAAGAAGTGAGATTTGTAGGGACAGGTCACTGCTGGCTTACTATAGTCACCAAGAACTGCCAGACTGTTGGTGTCCTTTTACTTTCTACAAGGGCATACCAAGAAATGTAGAAACATGATAAACGCTGATAGCAGCATGATGGCAGGTCATGATCATATACCAACATGATGACTCCTGGTCATGATGGAAGAGCATGATCCAATGTTTGATATCTCGGGCCGTGACTCCGCAGCCGAAGACCCTGACAAATGACTTCATGCCGATCCGGTCAACAAGAAATGAATTTTCATTGACTCCAGATCATCGATTGCTGCCATGTATGCTATCTGTTGAGCATCTTGCGTCAACAACTGTTCATCGACTGACACTCAAGTAGATGGAATGTAACATGTGGCGACAAAGAACAAGATGAGAACAAATATGTACAACAAATTTTTGTCTTTCTACAGGCTACTTGTAGACAAAGAGACCTGGAAGTAACATTCATAAACCCATAAGTATTAAGATGACATCCTGTTTTACGTGGTGATGAGGCGATTGACCTCCATCACGTTCCAATAGGCAGGGTGTGTCTTTCTTCGTAAATCATCATCAAAATGTTGATAGAATGATTTAAAGCTGGTTGGCAGTGTTGAAGTCCTTGAGGGCGACAGCGACACGCTTGGACATGGTCTTCTCACCCTCGCGAACCCAGACACGGGGGTCGTAGTACTGAATTTTCGTCAGCGAGAGCTTGAGAAGATTGAGAATTGCAAAAACTTACCTTCTTGTTGGGCTTGTCAGCACCGTCGGGGTTGCCGACCTGGCTGTTGACGTATTCCTTCTTGCCAATCATGTAGTCACGGATACCCTCAGTGTAGGCGTACTGGAGGTCAGTGTCGAGGTTGACCTTGCAGACACCGTAGGAGATGGCCTCCTGGAACTCGGCGACGGAAGAGCCAGAGCCACCATGGAAGACGAGGAAGACAGGCTTGTCATCCTTGGAGCCAATCTTCTCCTGGACGTACTTCTGGTGCTTGGAAAGGAGACCGGGCTGGAGCTTGACGTTGCCGGGCTTGTAGACACCGTGGACGTTACCGAAGCCAGCGGCAATGGAGAAGAAGGGCGAGACCTCGGAGAGGGTCTTGAAGATCTCGTAGATGTCCTCGGGCTGAGTGTAGAGGGAGTTGTTGTCAACGTCCTCGTTGTTGACACCATCCTCCTCACCACCAGTGATACCGATCTCCATCTCGAGCCACTGCTTCATGGGGGCAGCGCGCTGGAGGTACTTCTTGGTGGTCTGGATGTTGAAGTCAACCTCCTCCTCGGAAAGATCAATCATGTGGGAAGAGAAGCTGGAGATTTGTTAGAGAATGATACAAGATGAATATGACAGGGCGAAGCTTACAGAGGAGTGCCGGTAGCCTTGAAGAAGGCCTCATCGGCCTCCATCATACCGTCGAGCCATGGGAGGAGCTTCTTGGCGCAGTGGTCGGTGTGAAGGATGACGGGGATACCGTAGGCAGGGGCAACAGCGCGGATGTAGTGAGCGGCAGCAATGGAACCAGCGATGGAAGCCTCCTGGTTCTTGTTGTCGACACCCTTACCGGCGAAGTAGGCAGCACCACCCTGGGAAACCTATTGATTCTGTGAGTTGATGAATTCTTGATGTTTCAATTGCAATGGTTCTTACCTGAAGGATGATGGGAGCCTTGTTGTCGCGGGCAGCCTCAAGCGAGGCAACGACGGTGGAGGAAGAAGTGACGTTCTAAGCGCTGTCAGCGAAAATTCAGTTCATCTCAGGATCGTTTTTCACATACAATGGCAGGGATGGCGAACTTCTTCTCCTGGGCGTACTTGAAGAGCTGCAATCCGAGAGGTTAGCGAAGATTCTTTCGAGCTTGTTGTTATGGTTTGCGGAGCAGCTTACGGTCTTGACGTCCTCGCCGTAGATGACGCCGGACTTCTTGAGAACTTCTTGGGCAGACATTTTGAATAGATGTGTATGGAGTTGTTTCTTGTGGGAATGAAGAAAGATGAAGATGAGGAAGATCGAGCGAGGAGTGTTGAGCTGAAGATTAAGAGGAGACACAATTAGCGGGGCACTGCATCATACTGTCCCGCACGGACCCGAGGGGTATGAATTGGTTGCATCACACGTTTGGCAACTCTCAAGTAACACCGAGGTCCGCCGACGGGCAAAATCGGAATTGATCTGCTCTTGACTGCCTGCGCTGCGCAGTTGCTGCTACAGAAAACGCACGAATGAGCACTCGCCACTTACCATACGTCCGGAGAAACAGACCTATGAATTTGGAGGGGTTGCACTTCGCTGGAGCTTCCAGAGCTCTTTCCAGCTTCGACAACGCCGAAAGCGGTCAGCTTCCATCCTCTTCCTTAGCAACCAGCCAAAGCTTGGACGTAACAAGTCTGGCTTGAAAACACCGGTTTCCGATCCCAACAGTTCCCTTGTCATTGGAGCTTCAATGCCATGTAACTCACGAGCCCTGTCTGAGTCTCACCGAAGCCGCTGACAATTCTATACGAAGGTCATGACAACAGGTGACGCCTGAGCCATGAGCCATGTTGGTCACATCTTTCTGCTCCAGCAGTTAACGATCGAAAGTACGGTGATCAAACGCATAGAATATTTCTATGGTATATTTTGCTTGACGCTGTCAACGCGAACCCCTCGTAAGCGACTACAGCATATTGTCTACTCAGTCACCAACTACGACCATTACCTCTAACACAACCACCACGTCTTTCCTACTTTGACTGGGTCGTGCCTGCTGTATCTTCTTGAAAAGGGCAGCGTTTTGTTTACCTTTGATGCATACTCCATCAGACGGGGACCTGGATACAATGAATGTTGGGCCAGTTATGATTGCATCTCTCTATCGGTAATCAGGTCAGTCTGCACCTATCGAAATTCACCAAGTTGTTTGGATGTCGAGAGTGTCCGAAGAAGCTTGATCTTCCACACTCTATTATGTCGACCGGATTCTCACTTGCTACACAGCCCTTTTCGACGATTTCTGACTCCCCTCTTTATCACCCTTCCATCTTCGTACTTCCTCCCCATGTACAAATATGCAACGCGTATAGCTATAGAAATGCATAATAGTAGTAGGAAACGAGATGGTATCCACTGTCAAATCTCCGTGGATATACCTCTGCTTCCTAAAACAACTGTGCCTTCTCATAGTCTACATATCACTCTGAGCTATAGTCGGAGTACGGTGCAGAAGTCACGGACCTGAGTATACGTGGAGGTTGGAGTCAGTGAAGCCCATATCTCGTTCACTCTATCTTTTCGTACGCCTCACTACAGCCTGCTTTCTTTCAGCACTCAAATCATTTTCTTTCTTTACTTCACTCTCCTCTCATCCTCAATCCTATCCACATTTAAAAGCCCTACCATCATCAACCTCGTCCTCCTCCTTCTCCACCACCACCAACACCAACACCACACAGCTGTCTATCAATACTGCTTTGACAAGATCTACCTCACACATTACCTCACATTGCAAAAATGGTCGACACACGTATTCCTCACCTGCCCAATGAGATTTTGTACGAGATCGCTGGCTACGTCGACGATGAGGACATTTTAAACCTCCGTCTCTCGGCCAAGGTCTTTGAATACATCACAAATGACCGCTTTGCGACTACATTCTTCGGAGACCGCGCTTACGAACTGTCACCTGAGGGATTGGAAGCTCTAGTCAAGATCACGGAGCATTCGGTCTTCGCCCCTCACATCAGAACTGTTGTCATCGGTCATGGCGGCAAGCACTCTTCTGCAAAATATCACGATTTGCTTGACCAAGCTTTCAGAAATCTTGCTGCTCACGGTAATGCCATTTCCATTGGACTCCGCCGTGTACACACGGCTCACAACTACCGACCAATCCATACTCAAGGCTGTCAGCCAATGGTCAACTTTTTCAGACACAAGATGCTGGCCGCTGCCTTACACGCTCAATTGCCTCTCAAAGACGTTGTCGCCGATGTTCAGTCTGATTCTCGGAATCGCTTACTCGCATCACACTCAGATCACTGGGCAGGTCTCTTGGCAGACAACTTCCATGCTTTAGCTCACCACAATCAGCTTCGCAGCTTCAGGGTCAAGTTCAGTACCAAAGCACCTGACTTCACAAAACCAAGCTACACCCTTCTTGACCTGCACGACAGGATACTCAAAGTCTCGCAGACTGGCGATCGACAATGGGACACTTTCATGCCGTACGGATCCCTTCAAACATTCCGCGAAATTCACTTGGAGGCTTGTGACATGGACTACGACTGGTTCAGGGCCATGCTCAGAACTTCCTGCCAGCAACTCGAGTCCCTCTCGCTGTACAATGTCCGCGTCAAGGCTCCTTGGGTGGCAGCACCAACTGCGTCCTGGAGGTCTCTCTTCAGGAGACAAATCAGATCCCTGAGCGCCTTGAAGTCATGCAAATTCGGCAAACTCCAGGACCAAGATGGTCAAGTTTGGCTTGAAGGCGGCGATAAGACTCTTGAAGCTAGTACGAGAGCTCAAGTCATTACGGTTCTGTCCAAGCTCAGCGCTGGTATCCGTACTTTCGAACTCGACGGTTGATGGGAGGTCATAACATGTAATATCTTAGCATTCAGAAATCAAAATAACAATGTACTCCAACGTGTTCTTCTCATCTACATCATAGTGTAAGCATAAACGAGGTCTTCGTTCTGTCTTTATCCTTGTTTAGCCTCTATTCGGTAAGAGCAGTACGGACTGAAAATGTAAAGACACGTCATGTGTCTTTGAAATCAACATGTTGATACACCGAGACCGGTGTTCCCTGATGATCTCTGTGGACACGTCTGAAGTCCTGAAACTACTGTGCATTTTGATAGCTACCTTTCCGTGTACACGCCGCAGCGAAAGCTAAACAGCCCGTGAAGGCAGGCTCAGCGAAGACAGGGGCAAACAAAAGGTAGGTACGTCCCCAGCGTCTTGCACTTTCCGAAACGTCACTGTCAAAATGCACAACGTGGATAGTGGTAGCGAAACGTCCAGAGAGACCATCCTGGCATCGGACCTCTCAATGGGTACACTCAGTGCTCGGATAAATTTGTGCATTGTGATAGCTTTGAATCAAGTTCATCGATCTCGAGAAACATGAGAACACAAGAGTTGATTGCTGCTAGGAGAAGAAGATGGTTATGATAGCGGTGACGGTGGTTGCGGAGCTTGGCAAGCAAACTGGGCAAACTCGAATCGCGTTCGAAGAACGAATGCATGGGCTCCAGCATTTAGACATCGCAATTGGCATCTCATCTCGCCAAATCAATCAACTATGTTGTGCGCAAGTAAGTTACGGCTAGAAATCGAGATGCACACATTTGCTCACAACTACAACAGTTTCAGGAGAGGCTCCTCAGCAGCCTGTTGCGTCGCGCAAAAGCGGTATCATCTCACCACAAGTTGCGACAAGGTTGCGCCGACTCTAACGTGATGACCAGGCAACGTCTTCGAAAAGAGACTGATCGAATCATACATTTCCGAGAATGGCACGGATCCCGTCACTGGAGAAGACCTGACTATCGAGGATCTGGTCGAGCTCAAACAAGCTCGCGTCGTTCGCCCTAGACCCCCGACCTTGACTTCAATCCCCGCTCTTCTTTCTACGTTCCAAAACGAATGGGACGCCCTTATCCTCGAGACCTATCAGCTCAAGCAGCAGCTGGCCGAGACGCGCCAGGAGCTCAGTACCGCCCTCTACTACAGTGATTCGGCCGAGAAGGTTATTGCACGCCTGCAGAAAGAAAGAGACGAAGCCAGAGATGCTCTCGCCAAGATTTCTGTTACCTCGACCTCAAATGGCGCAAATGGAGATGCTATGCAGGTGGATGGACAAGGCTTGCCTGACGCCATTGTCGCAAAGATTGAGCAGACACAAACAGAGTATGTTGTTCGAACGGGATCTAATTGTTCGATTGGCTGACACGTTGTTACTAGATTGTCATCAACACGACGAAAGCGCCCGACGCCTGAAGGCTGGGCAACCCCTGACTCCCTCCAAGCTATGCAATCTACCCAAAACTCAGAACCTTTGTATCCCGGAGGTCGTTCGATCGCTGTTAACGAGACCGGCGATCTAGCACTTGTTGGAGGTAGCGACGGCGTGGTTGGCGTCTACTCGGTATCACAAGGACAGGTTGTCCAGACATTGAAGTGTGGTGGTGGTTCGGTTACAGATGCTGTTTGGTGCGGCAACAAGCCTGTGGTCGCTCTCTCGACTGGCGCAATCAAAGTCTTCGATAACGGTGCCGAGGCTGCCAGCTTCGACCGTCACGCAGGTGCAGTCAGCGCAATTGCCTTGCACCCTTGCGGAGACATTCTGGCCTCGGTGGGCGTGGACAAGAGCTACGTCCTGTACGACCTGCAGTCGCTTCAGCCTATCACCCAGGTTTCTACTGATTCCGGTATGTCCTACTTGCACGGAGAAACGAAAGAGGAAAGCCAGACACTAATTACTTGCAGAACTCACAACTGCCGCATTCCACCCGGACGGACACCTTTTTGCAGCCGGCAGCAGCAAGGGAACGATCAAGCTTTTCGATGTCAAGACATCCGAGAACGTGGCCAACTTCGACTCGACTTTCGGACAATCACCTCTTCAAACAGTTTCATTCTCAGAGAACGGCACATGGCTTGCATCGGCAGTACAAGGACAGACCAGTGTCAGCGTCTGGGACTTGCGCAAGATGGCAGAAATCAAGACGATCGACCTGGGCACAGCCGTTACTGGAGTCAGCTGGGATTACACTGGACAGTACCTGGCAGCATGCGGACAGGGCTTTGTTGCAGTTGAGCACTACGCCAAGAGCTCGAAGAGCTGGTCAGAGCCATTCAGAAAGGCACTGAACGCAGTCGACGTGAAGTGGGGACCTAAGGCACAGAGCCTGATTGCATTGGCGACGGACGGTAGCGTCAGCATCCTGTCTTCTTGAAGGATGGAAGGCGAGGTTGATGTTGATATGTTTTAAAAGCAACTGAGATCCAAACAAGGAAAAAAGCTTCTCGAACACAAGAAAAAGGTGTTATGGAATGGAGCCTCCCCATATGCAACGTGTGGCTATAGAAATGCACAATGTTATCAGGACACTGGATAGTGTCCTTTGAGAGGCGACATGTTGTCAGCTCTCTTTGGCCATGTTTCTGATTTTAGAGACAACCATGTCTTTTCATAGTGTAGAGATGCTCTTTGTTATAGTGGGCGTACAATGGGAGTTCAAGGCCCTAGCACATAGGGGTGAGGGAAGCGAAAAGACCCGGGGAAGGAACGTCCAAGCGGAGGTCCTGCTGTATGATAACCTTTGCATACAACACCTTGTTTGATGCAGGGCATAGAGCTCTTGAGATCTTGGTAGCTCTTCAAGAGCATAGTATTGGTGAGCATGAATACACATGAGCACGGACTTGTTCTTGTGACTTCACGTGCTAGGTATAAGTGATGGATGTGTTGTCAAGGGTGGCATGCAAGTCGTCCAGGGAAGGCGGCAAAAGTCACTAAACACGACCGTCGTCACTTTCCCCACAGCTGACCATCAACGTCAATGCTGCACGGCATTTCTTTCACTCTGCTTTCCTGGTCCAACGACGAGGCCTACTGACCGCTGAACTGCCTGCGAGTTTGGTGGTGTTCGAAACTTCAATCACCCGTCTTTGTCTTCTCAGCTGCTAGCCGCGCAGTATGGACGGCGGCCGAAGAAGACCCCCATACGACTTCTCATACGATCGCTCAGATAGCAACAAGGTCCACTGCTCTTGTCTTGGAAATCACTACCATGTGTACTGACTGTGTGCCCAGCGCTCCTATTCTCGTACCCAAATGGACTCTCACACCCGCTCATCGCCCTCGCCGCTTTTTGTCCGCCAGAACAGCCAATCCCCTCATCGTCGTGCCGCTCCTCCCAATCCTCGCCTCACTCTACCTTTACCTGTACCTCTACCTTCGCTACCACCTCACCTGCCTCGAGACGGCTACGATTATCGCCGCCCAGTTTCATCTGCTCGTTCAAACACGCCGGCCAACAATGTTATCGACCTGACATCCGACGATGATTCTACTGCTCCTGGAAACGCGCCTACGCCGCAACCGCAACCCACTACTGCACCCATACCTTTGCCCCGTTTTGGAAGAGAGATCATAGACTTGTCTGCAGATACCAGCCCCCAACAACCCACACATCCACGACATGCAAGGACATCATCGAGCCCTGAGGTGCAATTCGTTTCCAGCAGACCTCGATCACGCAATGATCAACCTCTTGCTCAACCTCCTCCTTTCCTGGATCCAAATCCTGAACATCGCCGTCATAACCCCGAATTGGTCCTGGACGATCCGGAAGACGATGTCATCATTGCAGGCGAGCGTACTGGTGTTAATCTACTGGCTCCTTTGGGCGCACACAGGAGGTACGGTGGGTTGGTCCAAAGGATATTTGAGGGAGGAACTCGTCTTCAAGGTCCCATGCGAGCCGCAATGACTACTTTCATGCGAGGGGGCCCGATGCCACACTTGTTCGGAGCGGTGAATGAAGATGGCGACAATCCTCGTCCGGCAAACTTCTTGGGGGCTGGCTTACCGGGCTTCATGAACTTTGAGACTGTTGCCTTTGATTATTTGAGGAATGCGGAGGACCCTGTTCAACTACCCGTACCCAAGTTTGATCCGCCACCTCCTGCACCTGAAGGATTTACCAGGGACCCAACCGAGGAAGACACAATCGTTTGTCCGAACTGCGAAGAGGAATTGGCTGTTGGAGAGAGCGAAGAAAAGCGTCAAGTCTGGGTTGTCAAAGCATGCGGCCATGTAAGTGATGTCCAGGGGAGCTACAACAGCCAAGAAGTTTTGGGCAAGTTACTGACACAAAATCTAGGTGTATTGCGGCACATGCATGAACAACCGCAAAAGAAGAAGCAACAAGGGGACCAAAGGAAAAGGTCGGGCAGACGAGCCAGTGCTACCGCCACCTTTCTCGACGTGTCAAGCGGATAATTGCGGTCTTCGGGTTTCTCACAAGAACGATGTGATGCAAATCTTCCTCTGAGCGAGGACATTTTCCACTTCTACCTTCTCAGTCTTCTTATCTGTTCATAAATGGTCCTTCGATACGTGGAGCATTGCGAGGATTACGGGAATGGGAGCTTTTATTTTTTGGGTGTAGATTATGGAGCAAGGCTATGTGTTCTTCGGGCGGGAGGGCATACTGATGTCTCCAAGCATGCATAGCGATGGCGTTGTCTTTATTTCAAAGGATCAAAGGGAGAGAAGGTCTTCCACTAGCTTTCGGCACTCACTTTATTATGAAAAATAATCGAGAAACGAAGCACTCGTTCAAGTCGTATCTGTCTGAGATATATCAATTCAATTTGATCTCTAAAAGAGAAACAAAGGCATTGTGCTAGTATGGAGCATTGGAGTATGGCGGAGCATTCCGCAGTCAACAGAGATCGGCGCGACCCCCGAGCTCCTGCCTCGTCAGGGTCCAATCTACAATTATCCAACTCTGGCCATCTGAGTCCTTCAATCGTCATTTCCTCAAGTTGCTCTCAACAACAATGGCCGACCGACCTCAACAACCCGCGCGTCCAGCTCGCGAACGTAAATCCTCGCCTGTCAAGACTGGTTACCTCGTCCTCTACAATGCTGTCTCGACCATCCTCTGGGCCACCATCCTAGGTCGCGTTTTGCTGGTTTCGTCTATACATGGCACGAAATATGTCTTTCCTGCTGTCGGAGAGTTTGCAAAGTGGACTCAGACTTTGGCGTTGCTCGAGGTTGTGCATGCTGCTGTTGGTGAGTTTGGACATTCCTCGAGGTTGTGGTTTGTCAAGAGGTGGCATTGAATGTATTGGGTGGATGAAGAAGACGAGGACTGATAGCTTTGAAAAGACGGTCAAATTACAAGGGAGCGAAGCATTGAAGAAGAGCAATGAATCTGGAACTCGCAAACCACACTGCCAGCCTTAACCATCAACACCAACACGGCTAACACTCCTTTCCACCTAGGCATCGTCCGCGCACCCCTCTTCACAACCCTCATGCAAGTTGCCAGCCGCATCCTCCTGATCTGGGGCATCGTCTACCCATTCCCCAACACAGTCGCCTTCTCTCCCATCTACAGCTCCATGCTCATTGCCTGGTCCGTCACCGAAGTAATCCGCTACTCATACTTTGCCATCAACCTCTCTGCTGGCAGTGTCCCTGCCATCTGGATGTGGCTGCGTTACAACACCTTCTTCGTCCTGTATCCTCTGGGTATCAGCAGTGAGTGTTGGCTGGTCTGGTTGGCCGCTACTGGGCCTGCAAAGCAATATACTGGTGTTAGAGAGGCTCTTTTTGCTATTCTCTTGATCTACATTCCTGGTAAGGTGTTTGTCACTTTAGAGAGAAACAGAAGGCTAATCCGAAATCCTTGACGTCAGGCTCATACATTCTGTTTACACACATGATGGCCCAGCGCCGCAAGATCATGCGTGGAAGCCATGCAAAGACTAACTAATCATATCATGTCACATACGACTACACTTGTCGTGATCCCCCGGACAAGACGTCTTGAGTGATCAGATAGAAAAGATTGCGCTTGTCACAAGAGACATGACATGCCAACCTCACATAGGAGGAAACCAGAATCTGCTCGCTTCGGGTAGCCCTATCAGATGGCTTCCTCGTAGCGGTTTACACTGCCACTAGCTTGAGTTTAGAGCTGCAAGATACCCACAAACTGGCAAGCAAAATGCTTGTGCTCATGAGACTCTCAAAGAAAAATCAAGCTCGACTGAAGGAGATAGCGATGTGATAATTGTGATTATACCATCTCAAGTGTGTTTATACGACCTTGCTTCACACGATACCTCCTCCTTTGTGTGTCAACAGACCTTGATCTTTTGGCTTTAGAAATGCAATGTGTATGTCAAGAAAGTTACATTCGCAAAGATGCTGTGGTTTTCATAAGTTTTCTTGATAGTAGTAGCAATGAGCCAAGCTCTTCATCATCTTGATGTTGATTTTTGTTACATATATACAGATAGTTCGTACATGATCCAAGATTGCCTCTTGAGAATGATCTAGACCATGCTCTTCGCATCAGAGTGCTTCTTCTCGTCATCGTCGGTAGAAACGAAGTCTTCGTTCTCTCCTTCCTCAGCAACAGCAGCTTCACTGGGACCATCTTCATGAACAGCAAAGTCCACAGTAGCAATTCCGCGAGCAGCCAACGCGTCTTCAATAGCAGAAATACGACTCAGGAGCCTGTCATCCACAACGGCTGGTGTAACCGAGATCTCGGGCACATACTCCGGCTCCGCAGTCTCTCTAATCTCAACAATAGGCGCAAAATACGATTGCCTGAGTTGAGATTTGCGCTTGGAGTGACGCTTTGATTCGACGTTAGGAGTGGCCATCGGTTTCTCATCGTTTGGAGTGTGTTCTTCTTCTAATTCTTCGAGGACGGATGTGATACCTTCCATTGGGCTCTCTTTGATTGGGGGCACCTCGTCTATTATGGTAGCAGAGCTGACACTGATGCGGCGGCCACCAACGGTGATGGAAGGTCTGCGAGCTGACAAAGGAGTGAGTGCGTCTCCAGATTTGATGATGCTGATTGAAGCTTTGCGTTCAGGCTTCTCGATGAGCTCTTCGGCTTCTTCTTCGTCTTCCTCTGTGATGTCAGGATTGCTGAATCGTTGTCCCATGGCAGTAACGGTCATTCTGCGGCCTCCCATCGCACTGCTGGGGACTTCGACCTGCGAGCCCACAGCTGTCACACTCATGCGGCGACCACCAGCGGGTAACACTGGATCGTCATCGACATCTTCTTCCTCAAGCTGCAGCACAACGTTTACAGCTTTGTCGTCTTCGATAATCTTAGGGTGTCGTGTGGCGAAGTAAGTGGCGTACTTGTAGATGGCGTAGTAGCAACTCGCAACATTCACAAACGTCAAGACGAGCTTGTAGGGCATGTAATAAAGCCAGACGCACTTCTGTGGCACCTTCTCATTTTTGCGTCGAAGGTGGAGCTCATTAAAGATGACAGCGTTTGCCATGTAAAGGACGAAGGTAAGGGCCATAAGTTCGAAGAAGAATGAAGGACGCACAGCAAGGGATACCGGGACGACGATGGGTGTAGCGAGATAGAGAAGCGTTTCGTAGATCTCCTGGAAGACGAAAAGCTTAGCGCCGAGCTCCCACCAACCTAGCTTCCATGAGAAGAGGATGTAATGTAGGTTGTAGTACATTCCATTGACGAAAAAGAAGTTCCAGCGGTAGAATCGTTGCTTGAAGACTGTCATCTCGCCAAAGCCACCTCTTTCACCGCCAGAGCTGAAGAAGACGGCATCAGGAGTTTCCGTCTCGATGAAGACAGATGTCGCCATCTGTGTACGACATCCGAGCTGACGAGCAACGTGTCCGAAGAACCAGTCTTCAGACACGCTAAATCCAGGATGCTTGCTAAAAGTCTTGATAAGGAACTCACGGTCCCAGAGCGAGATGGCGCCATGGGGGAAGGTCGCGCTGCCGATCTTGCCAGCAAGTGCACGTTGGATACCAGAAATCTTGTATTCCAGATCTTGTGCTTGTTGGCAGAGCGTTCCTTTGGATGACTTGGGGCCGACAGACTTGATGGTATAGCCCATACACATGACTTTGCCTTTGAGTCGATCGGAGACAATGGGGAAGTTGGGTGGTAGAGCGCAGTCGTCATCGATAAGCAAAACGTTCTTGAAGTCCTTTGCAGCATAGCAGCCAACGAACTGTGCAACAATCTTCGAACCGACAGGACTCCAGATGTGATTGACACCAAAAGGCCTGCAAATTCCTTCGGTGTTGTCTAGAGGAGTAGGACTGTTGCCTACGGTACTGTCAGCGCGTGGAACTCTTGCTTGATTTGATGACATACCATTAGCAACGACGAAGATATGCGATGGTGGAAATATCTTCGTGGCAGCTTCTAATGTTGGGCCAATGAGGTTGGCGGCCTTGTAGCAGGGAATCATTAGGGCAGTGTCGGATACGTTGGGAGTCTTGGTCGCGTCGATGGGTTCTTCAGGCATCGGTGGGTCTGGTTCGAACAGAACAAGGAGCGGAGAATATGCATAGCTTGGAGTAAAAAGTCAGCTCTGAAATGAAAAGTGCTCATCGTGTGCGATTTCAAGGACGTAGCTGCGATATTGCACAACATCTTCCTGGTTGAGAGCCATGTCCACTGAGAGTCGTGACTTCTTCAAATCTCCCAGGACTGGCTCTGATCTGGAAACAATTATGCATTGTCATAGCTCGGCGGCGGCTTCTTGCTCCCGTGGAAGGAAGGTGGGAGTGGCAGAAACCAACACTGGAAAAGAAGGAGCAAAGGACGACTTACGCAACTGAGACCCCGATTATGATAGACCAAGAACCAGTAACGTTGAGCTTATACTTGAACGCCAAATAAAGCTCCCAATATGTCCCCTTCCAAAGCGGAACACCTATAATTAGAAAATAAAGAAGGACCAGAAGCATTGCATAAAACGTGTATTCGAAGGTGATTTGCACCCAGCGCTTTCTTCGAATTTCAAGTTGTCGTTTCTTAGCGTTTTCATAGACGTCCCACATGCTACTCCGGCGGACCTTCTTGCGGACATTTATGAGAGTGTCTTGGAAGACGGAGTTTGCTCGCTGGAAGACGGTGCCTCTTCTCTCTCCATTGTATGGGCCATTCACATCCCCTGTAGCGATTCGCCGCCACATGCTGGGTCTTCGAGCTGCTGTGTTAGAATTGTTGGTGTTATTAGTTGCCACTAGACCTAGAGCTGCTCCTGCAGCCGCTAACGGATCAGCAGGGTCTAAACCGGCTCCAGGCGAGATATCTGCGTCGCGATATCTGAAAGCGAACTGTCCCCACGGAGTCAAACCTTGGGGAGGCTCGTTTGGAGTCACTGGCTTCTCGCTTTCGTCGTCGTTCGGATTTTTAGCTTCTGTAACAGCGGCAAGAGATTTTCCTCTAGACATCCTGGCACTAGTCTGGCGTTCCCTCATCGCAGCGAATGGGTCTGCTTGAGCTAACGCTTCCAATGAGGTGCTCATGTGATCAGGAGCTTGCGGTGTCATTTTGATGATGTTCTTGACCTCTTCCTGCTGTTGTTGTGCCATGGATTGAATATTGAAAGATGAGCGAGAGTCTTCACGTCGATACGTTGACTTGCGTCTACCAACAACATTGTCTTCGTTCCAGCTCGTTTCGACATGAGTCATTAGATGGGCAGGGATGACGACGTTAGTCACAGAGACAGAAGAGCGACGAGGTCCAGCTAGAGACGGACGTCTGTTATCTATTGCCGAAGGTGGACCTGTAGTCGAGATTCGTCTGCTAGCTCCCATTGTATAAGACTGACGGCTAGAAAGTGGTGTCGGATTGCCGGAAGTGCCCAAGTCAGGTTCTGTTTCCGAAAGAGAAGTCAGGCCGGTCAATGCTGCAGAGCTAAGACGAGGCCTTTTCTGTTCGTGAACAGAGGCGAATGATGCCCTTGTGGGCGTTTGCATAGGGGTATCCACCATTGCAGCCCTAGGCAGAGTTGAGGTAGGTTCGCTGACAAGTCCATTCTCGGGAACTGTAATGTTGGGTAGTTTCTTCGAAAAATTCCTTGACGATCGATTCCCGAAGCTCGCTCTTGCGGTCCTGGCTGGCACCTGTTCTGTACCAGAAGTTGTTCTTGGAACATCAGTCTTCTTCGCGAAAGGATTTGTGGACGCGAAGAAAGGGTTCGCAATTTCGATTGCGCCGCCAGCAGCGCAATCGTCTGTCGTTGACTTTCGAGCTTCGTCACTCATTATTGGGACAGTCGCACCAGGACTGACACTAGATGAGTCCCAATCACTAGGACCTAATGACCTCCGGGTCACAGTAGTTTGACTCGATATGGGCTCGTTAAATCCAACGTTGGCGAGATATCCCTCGTCAGACACCTTCCTGCCTAGGATGTCATTTCGCGTCGTTATAGTTTCATCGGATGCAATTTTCCTAGATCTCCTATCGAACATAGTGGAGCCATATGATAATTTTGGAGACGGCGAGGCGCTCGTTCCAAAATCATATGGCCCAATGTTTGTCGATATCCTTTTCGTTAGACTCGGGCGATCGTACGATGGTATGAGGAAGGGCGAAGAAGTAGTCGAGTCTTGCAAGCTGCCATTCGTAGACTTTCTATCCGCTGCAGTGTATGCCTTATATGCCGGACTAGGCTTAACAATCTCGTTTGTGGAGGAAGTCGTCTCTTCTGGTCCAGATTGTGTCGACTGGTCTTCTTGTGACGTCCGTGATGGTTCTGTAGATTCTGTGTGCTGTGAAAATGAGAAGCTGCCACGGTTTGACAAGCCATGTGTGGCATTTGAATGACTGACTTCTCCAGGTCCGATGTCTCCAGACTCTCTGCGCTCATTACTTGAAGACAATGCATGAAGACCGGAAGCAAGAGGACTTGACATGATGGAGTGTCCTACTTGCGTTGAACAATGAAGCAACGAGCAAAGCTAGAGAGGTCATAGGGTTCGGGACATGGAAAAGAGAAATACTTGCCATTTTGCGCCAACGTTGGCAGGCCGGTTGTTAATAGCAAACATATGGTTCATTGATTTTGGGACCATGAAGAGCTAGGCGAAACAGATTCCGTCAAGGCTCCTTATTCAGAAGATGCGGAGACCGTTGTGGTCTCTAGGTTGCTCTCCCGCATTAAGCCACTTTGTCGAAATATTGTAAACAACGGCCACGGAAGCTGTAGTCGGGAAAGCCAGACACATAAGAACACAGAAAATGGGACCTGCTTGGACCAAATTTGGGGGAATAGGGGGTGATCATGTTGGCGACCAGAGATGTAAATTCGTCTCTTAAGGGTAAATACTAGGTAAGCAGGGCATTATGAGCAAGGTATAGAAAGCTGCATGTTGTGTTAGGAGAGCCGAGCTTGTGACGTCGACAGAAACCGATTTTTGTGATGCTCTTCTCGGTTAGAGTGTTGTGGAAGCTGGCTGGAAGAATCTGGCCCCTTGGGCGGGTAGACTAGAAGAGTGCTGTGTTTTAACAAGGCCCGTTGAAGATAGTTTGGGTATTGATATGAAGCGAAAACGTTCGGTACTCTTGAGTGTTCTAGCAGTAGAAGCATGTCGCCCAGGGACCTTGCCGTCTTGATAATCGAGAGCTGCAACGTCTAAAGACGCCTTCTCAAAAAGTTGTCTGGACCGCACATAGTTTTTACGAAACCCAGGATAGCCTTGTAGGTAGCGCGGAGAGCGAGAGCGGGTAGCATGAGGTTAGGGAAGCGAGACAATAAATTCGACGTTGAAAGCTTAACCTTGCCCCAAGCTTGCCCTCATCGCGTGGCAGCGCACGGACATTGGGATTGCTGATCTCTTGCTTTTTGGAATATGTAGGTACTGCAGCCATAATGTCAACGAGCACGAAACGAAGCTTTCATTATAGCTATCAGGCATCGTCCCTATAGTGCGAGCGCCTGCTACCATACTTTACAGCTCGTCCTTGATCTTGCGCAGGAAGCCTCTGATACCATGACCGTGCTTCTTACCACCTTCAGCTTCATGATGCTCGTTGCCGACGAAAGCAGCCATGTTCGTAGTCAACGGACCTACTCCACCTCCCATCCAAGGACCTTCGGGGGTGAAGACGACTCGTTGCATCCTAGCCTTTCGGTTGTTCCAACCGTCATCGGGACGATCGGTAGCGTGGTAGCTAAAAGGCAAGTATTAGTTGCATGTGTCTATTACTCTTGTCAGGTAAGTACTTACATTCCGACAATGTCGTCGCCAATGTGCATAAAGGAACCATGGCCAGGACCCCAGGGTCCATTGCCGTGTGGACCGTTCTGAATCAAGGGCTTCATGCTCTTCTGCCAGGAGTCAGGTCTCAGAGGGTCTCCACCGGTCCAGCGGAGGCAGTTCATCTTGTACTCGTTGGTCCAGCTGCCCGAGCAGCTGTAGACGATGCCAACCCATGAGCCATCCTGTGAGGCAAGGTATTGTGGCCCTTCGTTGATGCCGTGATCTCCTACACGTTCGAATGGTTGGTCGGGTCTACAGATCTCAACAGGATCCGATGCCGCAGTGACCGGGTCAGCCAGTCTGAGGATGAAGAGATGTTGCTGAAGGTCTGATTCATTGGGGTTGTCGAAGGGCCATCCAGAGTAGACAAAGTACAGTTGTCCGTGCAGTTCGACCACAGTGCCGTCAATGGCCCATTGCTGCTGTGCCATGCCTCTGATAGGACCTACAAACTCCCACGAACCAGTAGCGGGGTCTTGGTCTGCTGGTGGTCCAGCGAGCACGAACATTCTGTGCGATTTGTTTCCGTGTTTGGGGTGGCAGGCAGCGTAGTATACATACCACCTGCCCCTGAGGCAATGGAGTTCGGGTGCCCAAAGGTCGTTCGAGTGCTCAGTGTCTGGAGGTGGTCTCCAGATAACATGCTTGTCTGGATGATCGTAGAAATTCGGCAAGCTGTTTGCTCTCCAGATCTCTACTCGATCACCCGCAGTGAATGTCTAGTGTTGTTAGACTCATGTGACGAAGGCTTCGTGTCTTATGGTAAACTCACGAGATAGAATTGGCGGGTTGCTGGTGAGTAGGTAACATACGGGTCTGGCGTGGTGACGGTAGTCAATGACAAGACAGCATTATTGTATTGAGCCATGGTTGTGTGTATGGAATCAATCTCTCCAGGACGAAGACAAGAAAGCGATGTTGATGTTGAAAATGGTATTCGTGACTGCCTGGCTTTGTACCATATGGCTGCCAGTTTCGGACTTGTGAAGATCAACACGCAAGCTTATGAAGTCATTGTTCATGAACCTTGTCCCACCCCCTCTCTTGACCTGGCCTTGTTTTGCTCCAAGATTGTCTCACGGCGGCGTCCAGTATATTTTAGAACATAAAAATGCACAATACTTTGCAGAAGTGGGTGCTAACCACAGAAAGACCTCTCTCGTAAGGAGCCTCTGAGGCCATGCTTTCAATCAGAGGACCATTGTGCATTTCTACAACACGGAGGTGTCTAGCACACGAAGACTCGAAGACTCGAAGAGACAAGGAACTCAAGTCTATGATTGTACAACATCTCCGTGCGCGAGAGATTGCTGTAATGTAGCTATAGAAGTACACATTGACTTTGCAAAGAATGTGGGTTTTCACAAAGAAGCCCCTGTTGAAGGCTATCTCTATGGCCATACTCAAAATGAGCATACAACTGTGCATTTAAATAGTTCATGTTTTTCTTGTATCTCGAGATGGAGCTCTCTCATGCTATTGTTGTTGCTACAAGTGGTCGTAGTGCCATCATCTTCATTCGTTTCAATGGTCCAGTAGAAGCAAAAGACTAAGATACATACTTACCCCTAAAGGAAAGTGCAAAGGTGAACGAGAAAAAGGATATAAGAACACAGCCCCGTCGCGCAGCATTACCATTTCATGCAATTCGATACCTCCCAAAATTGGTTACCTTCGCCTATAAACGCCGTTTGCCTTGCTATGCCGAGCTTTTGGTGTGATGTGTCGCGTGGAGAGGAAGCGCTTTTCTTCTCTTATCCAGAGAGGCATCGAATTGCGAAGGGTCCACACTTAGAGTGCTTCTGTCCTGTTTCTGGTGCCTTACCGGGCGCTTGACTAGGGCGTGAGACATGGTTGCTTACCGACGTTGTGCGCATACGGTGATGGGCTTACCGTCGATGTCCTTGAGCATCTGGAAGCAAAGCCTCTCAGAGCGAGCGTGTAGAGAATGTTCAACAAACCCGAAAGGCGCTCAGTACCTTCTTTGCTTGCGCGATTCGTCGTAGCCACCGTTTCCATCGTAGGGACGTTTGCGGTCGTTGTCGCGGTCCCGATCACGGTCGCGGTAGCCGCCACCACGGTCACCACCTCCGATCGGTTCACGGTTGCCTCCGCTGCCACCGTAGCTGTCGCGTGGCGGTCTGTCGCCGTATCTTGAGCCTCCGCCCGAGTAACTGTCGCGGCCACCATCGCGGCCTCCTGAGTAGCCATCACGACCGCCTCTGGGGCCACGAGGACCGGATGGGGCACCTTCTGGGAATCCATTGCCGTAGCCGACTCCAGATCTGCCGCCTCCATACCCACCTCTGTCGCCTCCACCGTAGCCGCCCCTAAAGTTTCCACCGCCTCCTCCTCCTCTTCCACCACGGAAACCTCCTCTAAAGCCCCCACCGAAACCGCCGCGACCGCCGCCGAAGCCTCCAGGACCAGAGGGAGCACCGTAGCCGGAAGGACGAGGAGGAGCAGCTTTTGTGTAGTGGCGGCCACCGAGACCACCTCCAAATCTGCGAGGACGCCATTCCTTGACTGTGCGACCGCGCTCGACATCGACCAGGATGCGTCTGTCTTTGATGCGAATTCCATCGGCATCCTTGTAGGCAGCTAGTGGGGGGTTAGATTGTGATATGTCAAAAGGTCAAGAATGACAAATTACCCTTCATGTCAGAATCTCTTTCAAAAACGATGAAAGCGTAGCCTCGATGCTTCTTTTTGGGAGTGGGAGTGGTTGTGTCTTCAACCAAACGGATCTGAATGGGTCAGTTGTTGTTTGAGCAGAGGGATGAGAGTGGTAGCGCACGCGCTCGATGGGACCGTAGCGACCAAATTCGCGCTCGAGGTCTTTGACCTCAGTATTGTAGCTGAGACGAGAAACGAAGAGAGTCTTCAATGGATCGCCAATAACGTTGGGGTCGTCGTGAGGTTTGACTGGTAGCAGAGATCAGCAAGGTGGCAGGCAATGGACAATTGGCGTGGGAAGCGCACATTCGTTCTTGTAGCCTTCTGTGACGCGGTATTGAGCAGCGTTGTCTCTTTCCATCTTTTCACGGTCCTTTTTCTGCAGCCAGCTCTCGGTCGGGACGTAACCATCGTCGTATTCCTTTGCGGCCTGGACATATTGAGCGACACCAGAGATGGCAGGAGTGCGACGGTCCTCGGGGGCGTGGTCGCATGGCGGCAGATATCGCAGGGCAGGCCTAGGGGCGAACAGCTGCAGCAGCTGTGGGGGTAACTTGTCGGTCATCTGTGTGCGATGATGTGGTGATGAATGAGAAGTAGACAGGGAGGCAGCTGGCTTGCACTGGAGCTGAGAGTCGAGACACGACGACGACGGCCCGCGGCTTCTTCCAGCAGCGCGCCAAGACGCCCATCCAGACATTCTCGACGAAGACGATCATGGTCAATTAGTCCACGCCGTCTCGATTGCCTACCGTCAACATGCCCCTACAGGCTCTGCGCACTGCTTCCAAGGCCCAGGTTAGTTGCTGTCCCTTTCTGGTCTCCTTTCAACCCTATAACTGACTTGTGACTCTAGAATGGCGTTGGCGCCTTCATCCTGCAATGCAAACGCCTCGACTTTCACTACTGCGACTGGGCTGGTAGTTCCAAGGGCATGAAGTACGTCGAAATCAAATCTACTCGTATGCTCGGACTCTGACAAAATGCGCCAGCGCTTTCCTCAAGCACGATCTTCCAGCCTTTGCCCGCGCCAACCCTCAAGTCGAAATCACCGTCTCGCCCCGTCCGCGCAAACACCCCGTCATCAAGGGCACATATATCAACGGCCGCGAAAAGGCCATTTGCGTACGCAGCCTGGAGAAGGAACAAATCATGAAGAAGGCCGAGCTCTTGCGTGATGCCAGCGGCGAAAAGTTGAGAAAGGTCACAAAGCCCGTCAAGAGTATGAATGAGAGTGTAAGAGGTATCTGGGATCCTTTCCACGGCTCAAAGTGGTCTGTCTGATCTCACGTCACCTCTTCATTTTCTACGACCATCTTGTACAGCATTTTCAATGGCGTTTTGGGGGAATACCAAGGGTTTTCAAAAATGGCCTCTTCAATTGTACACTATCTTCTCCAGCATCATCTCATCGTCCTTCTCGGAACTTCAAATCTGTGTCCTCAGGCTACAATGCAACTGTAAAAATTTACAAAACTTACCAGAACAAATGTGTCATCCATGGGAAGGCTAGCTCGGGTTATCTCTATGAGCACACTTCTGGTATCAAATAACGTTGTGCATTTTGATAGCTATGGTACTCTTGAATATCACTGTAAGAGTGGAACAATCTATGCCAGACCACGTTGATCAGCTTTACATGATTGCATAGGTCACGCACACATTCTCGGTACATGATCCATTAAGAAGTGTGATCTGGACAATCTCTCTACTCATGCACTTGTTCCATTTGACTTTATCTTAAAAATGTCATGCTCAGCAACGGAAGTCATCTACCATTCACGTACGAAATATTGCGAGTAACGTGCTTTGGTTCGTCAAATGCTTTATTTAACAATCATCTCTCATGGACAGTCATGCGTCTACCGCAAAACGCCCTACCAGTCCTTTCTATATACAAGACTTTTTACGAGGACTGGGCGTTGATAATGTCGACAAAGGCGGGCTTCAAGCTGGCACCGCCAACAAGGAAACCGTCAATGTCCTTCTCCTTGGCGAGCTCGTTGCAGTTCTTCTCGCTGACACTGCCACCGTAGATGATTCTGGTGTTGTCCGAGGCAGTCTGGCTAACCTCCTTGGCGAGGTACTCGCGGATGGCAGCGTGCACCTCCTGAGCCTGCTCAGTGGTGGCGACCTTGCCAGTGCCAATAGCCCAGACGGGCTCGTAGGCAATGACGACCTTGCTCCAGTCCTGGACCTGCTTGGCGACAGCACGGAGCTGGTTGGTGACGACCTCAATGGTCTGGTTGGCCTCTCTCTGCTCGAGGGTCTCGCCGATGCAGAGAATAACACCGAGGCCGTTGTCAAGGGCGGCCTTGGTCTTGGAAGCGATGAAGTCGTCGGACTCCTTGAGGATGACACGGCGCTCAGAGTGACCAGTCAGGGTCCAGGTGATGTTGGACTCCTTGAGCTGGGTGGCAGAGATCTCACCAGTGAAGGCACCGTTGGGCTTGTCGAAGACGTTCTGGGCGGCGACCTCGAGACCGGGGCGGAGGTGCTCACGAGTGAGGAGCAAGTAAAGGGCAGGAGGAGCAATGACGACCTCTGCGAACTGTCAGCATTGGATACTTCTCGCAGAGTGTGCATGCAGTGTTTACTGACCGACATTGGGGTCGACCTTGGCCTGGTTCAGGTGGTTCACGATGCTCTTGATCGTGTCGACCGAACCGTTCATCTTGAAGTTGCCTCCGACAAAGAATTGACGACCCATGTTTGCGGATGTGTGAGGTAAAGTGTTTTGTTTTGATAAAAGTTGATTGATTTGGAGTGGTGGTTGCAAGAAAAGTGTCAAAGCAAAGGCTGCTGTTGAGGGGAGAAGACGAGTTTATTTTGTTGGCAACTGCAGTGCTCCGATGGAGGGGCAGCATCATAGCTTGACGTAGCTGCCACGCCGGGCAAATTCGGCGCTCGGGTACACCGCGGGGCCTTGGGCCAAGGGACTTTTCGAAACAACGAGAAGGACCGGCGAGTATCTTGATTCATGCTGGACTTCAGTGGATACATTGTAGGAACGTGACGAGCAGAGTCTACTGAGGATAGAGATCCGATGGACTGACACCAGGCGTCTTATCAGCTCTTGCACGCTATACTATCCCCACCCCAATATGCTTAATATACCGGAGCTATGAAACACATGATGCTTGCCAGGGGAAGAGTATTCAAGGAGGGCTTAATGTCTTGGAGGCTTGACCGTGCTACTCCTTTGAACTCGATATTGCATTCCTATAGCTTGTGATATCAGCCCAAGCTCCCACGAGAGTGAGATCGTCTATCAAACTCCTCAGCACACAGTGAAACCAAGACCTCTCACGACCCCAGCGATCGTGATCTCGCCCTCTTTCAGACCAACCCATTTTCGAAATAACTGTGCATCGGCAGCCATATTGCTCTGTATCACAGTCAAAGCCGATCGATGGTCGTAGATTACAGCACTCGGTGTGAGCATATGTGCTCCTCTCGGTGGTACATTCGGCCGGAGAACGATGTGGTGATCAATCACGCTTTCTGCAACTTGCCTGCGCGGTCAGCAGCAATCTCACACATGGCCTGTACTCCAGTCAGCATACGCTCACCACATAACGCGTGAGTGTACTCATGCCTTGATCGCGGCTGCTCGCTCCGCGGCAATATCTCCAGCAGCGATTCTACGCTTCATATCCTCCATGATGACGGGTCTGCTGCGGCCATTGACAAAGACAACATATCTCAGTCCAGGATATGTCTTTTCGTATTTCTCATTCAATTCGCGTAGTTTTTGGGCCTCTTCTTCACCGCCAGTGTTGAGTTGTGCCTGCTCTGCCTGGCTCTGTGCACTCTCGACTTTCTTTGCACCAAGTCTAGGATGTGAGCCTAAGATGCTCTCTAACCACTTGGTATCACTGGCAGAAGATGACTCAGATAGCTCCGTCAGCTGTACGCCAACAGCCGCAATGAGATCATTGTACGATGTGAATGTCTGGTTACCCAACAGCTCTACCGACAGTGTGTGTAGACGAACGCTGGGCTCGAAGAGCAGGTCAAGGACACTTGCCCTCTCTTCAGCAGCCAGCGATGGTAAGGAGGAAATGGGGGGAAGGTTCGACATAATGCAGTTTGGTATGTTCATGAACGGAGTATGTACGTTGTGTCAACACTGTTGGAGACGTAGAAAGCAGACCCACAGTTACCCCAGCAATTGCACCACCAGTTCTCTACCACCCACCATGCGAATTAGGTTGGCTGTATAAAATGCACTATTGCTCCAATACAATCAGTCTCCGCAACGTTATATTGCTCCGGAAAATTGTACGGCCAGGCAGTTTGTGTATTCTCGTAGCACTCGCAGGGTATGTCTGGTTCGATGAGTGGACTGACCTGTTCTGAGACCAGTATTTGGAAATCTACTTGACTTCCCCATCAACTAGAGCTCGGACGCGTTCCAGTCTGAAGCCACGCGCGATGCATGCTCCTAAGACAGGTAGAAGCATGCTCAGATCTCGGTTTGTGCGACGAGTCGATAAGTAATAAGCGGCTCGGCAGAAATTACAAGAACGCGATAAGATATCCGGCTGGCGGCAAGCCGAAGAGTTAGACATTCAGTCTTCGAGACTCGAGTGTTAAAGTGTAACTTGAACCGCACTCCGACTGGAGCAAAGAGTTATGAGTGCCTTGTAAAAATGCATAATTAGTTCCGAAAGTAGAGGCATGTCCACAGAGAGCCGCGAACGTATTACCTCTCCATAAACACTGCCAATCTCCTTGGTAGTATTATGCATTTATTATAGATATGCGTTACATACTTTGGCACCGGGGAGGAGTGGCTTGAACAGATACCCACTTGGAGAGGGTGGGGACACGAAAGCGGCAACCGTTCTGATGATCAAAGCTCCATCGGAGACTTTTCAACGTAGAATTTTGAGGATTACCAGCGATACAAAGCAAAATGCACAGCATGTTGCATGCATACAGTAAAGAACATGATGGAGTAGGTTTGTCCCTGAGGACTTTTCCGTGGTTCAGCTGCATTGGTGCATGTGCGGTGATTGTCTGTGAGAGGCAAGATTGGCCTGGGCGCGGCCATGCAAAGTCAGGGTCAGCCAATCAATGGTGCAATCTACCGAGAGGCTACGGAAATGCCTAGATGGGATGGAGCGAGCATACGACGATCAGTCCGATTCGTGCTGATGGTCAAGTTTGGTTGAGGCGAATGGGCTGAGGTTGATGTATGTATAATAGAGCAGTCCTATGTTTCGAGTTTGCGAATGACGAACAGCACCAGAGCTCGATAATGCTGGTCACCAGAAAGGGGCTCACTCAACTCGAAATTTGCGCGAGACACGGTCACACGCGCTTCTGGAATTAACACCCCTGAATCTTCCCTGCAGCAGGGGTACAAGGACCCGTAAAACCAGAAGACGGTCCGGCGACGACTGGCAACACCATGTCTTTAAACGGACTGGATGCGCCAGAAGTGCAGCAGGCCTATGAGGCCACCTTGAGCGAGGCTAACGGGTGGATTCTGGTGAAATACATCTCCCGCGACGAGGTTGCTCTACTTGACCATGGACAAGCGGGCTTGAGCGAGGCAAGAAACGCCATTCTGCAGTATGAGGAATTGTCGCCTCTGTATGGACTGGTTGTGTACCGGCGCCGAAAAGTGCTCGTTAAATATGTGCCCGAGGGAACATCGCGGTTATTGCAAGGTACGAGTTGGTCGCGGAAGACGGCGCATATCAAATACTGACCGGGACCGATGCAGCGCGGACAGCGGTTCACCTCCGGGAGGTCCAGGACATATGGGCGCCGTACGAGACGATGCTCGAGATTGAGACGGCTGACGAGCTGAACGACACGGCTCTGGCAGCGGCCTTTCCTCTACACACCGCCTCGCCCGCACTGTCCAGCAATCAATTCTCCTTGAATGAGATCACCGAAGACAACGAGGATGTCGACGGCACTCCCAAGCCGCTGACCCACACTCCGTCCATATCGTCGGTGTCGAGCAGGAAGCCCACGCTTGAAAAGCGACCCCCGTCCCAGCGTTCTTACCGCGCCCCTTCTTTCACGAGTGCCCAAGCCGCCGGCGACCGTTCGCCTGTCGTGAAGCACAAGTCATCCTTGTCACAATTTCTGGTCCGGGAAGAGCTAGGACACAAGTCAGTCACACAATTGGATGGACATCCGGCGACCGAAGACAGCGTCTCGATCAAAGACGACGCAGCCTCAATACGCAGCAGCCGTACCGAGTCGGCTGTTCCCTTGACTTCTCCCACACGGACACATGCCAATGAGTCGGCCGACTACGACTTGGAAAGATATCTTGATTCGTTCTTCAAGCCAAAGATCAAGCTTGGTCCGCGTCCGGTCAACGTCGTCGAGAAAGGCAAGCACACGTCGGCCTCGGCTTCCGTGTCGAGTCTTCCTGCTGGTGTCCAATTCAGACCAAAACAGCCCCTGTCGCAACCGCAACCGCAATATCCCACCATCCGGAATCCCCCTACGGGAAGTGCAGCGCCGCCGAGGCTGCCCTCCCTCCATTTCTCTCCTCAGATTCCTGACATTCCCGAGTTCCTGCCCCCACGGCCCAATTCAAGAGGCAGCTCTCGCTCTTTGCCAGCTCCGCGTGCATCCAAGACATATCTGACTCCCGAGAAGCAGCGGCTCATGAAGGCACTCGAGATGAAAAAGAAACAGATGAGAAATACACCATCTGTGGAATCAATGCCACGGCTACCCCCTGCCCAAGTTGTCAGCCCAACGACTACTGACCCGAGCCAACTCCAGGCACGGGAGCTGCAGCGCGAGCCGGGCTCGAACAAGGCTGATTCTGGTATCGACATTACGCATACGCCCACTGCCAAAGAGGCTCCTACTTCACTTGTACAAGAGGATTTGGGTCCAGTAGCTGAGGCACCCGTCGGACAATCTAACATCCTTCTAGAAGCACAAGAAATTTCGGCAAATGATCACCCATCAAATTCTGTTGAACACTCTACTACGCAGGAGATCATCAGCACCACCTCGGACAATATAGCTCTAGTCCCACAATCCATTGAGCCAGAACAGCCATCAAAGGCCGGTGAGGCCGAGCTTGCCATTCACAACCAGGAACACATAGCTGCGCACGGGCCAGACACAAGGGTAGAAGAATCCACAGGCTCACTTGTAGACGGTACTGTCACTGAGGCTCGAACTCACATTCCTTCCGACAACTTGGTAACAGTGCAAGAGTCTGAAAAGCTGGTTGTTCCCACGATCTCTGGTGAACAGACCCAGTCAGAGTCACAGGAACCAACTCCTCAATCTGCGTCCGAGGATCCCCGGGAGCACGACAGTTGTGAGCCAGAAATTGAGACCGGTTCAGAAGATCAACAGAAGAAGCGCCGCAGGGGTCTGTTGGAGCCTCTGCACATTCAAGTACGCCTTGAACGTCATACCTCCGAGCACAAATTCCTTGCAGACGACGATTTCATGGACGAACTACAGACTGCTACCTTCGAACAGGCTACCCCAGTCGCCATGTCGAAGTCCCCTGCAAGTCCTTTCTTCCCTCCAAGGCGCCCCAGCTCGAGATCTGCCAAATCATCCAACTCGGTCACTACGGCGGTCTCTGCAGAATCTGTACCCCTTGTGCCTTCTGTCAGTGACACTCTAGAGAAGCGTCAAATCGCTCCTGAATTGCTGGTGCCTTCGTCTGAACCACAAGTCGCTATTCCAACTAGAACGCCATCGATCTCTTCGGTAAGAACGACAGATTCAGCTCCTTTGATGCGCAAATCGAATGTGTCTTCTGGTATATCTGCAAGAATCGCTGCCCTTGCCGAGAAGTCAACCAGAGATGGAAGTCCTCCAGTGGTTCCTGAATCTCGCAAATTGTCTGCTAGTTCAACCATCGCACAACGCAAGAGCTCGTACATTGAGCAATCGGCCGAGGCTCAAGCTATTGGTGGTGCTGAGAAAAGGCACGTTGGAAAGCTGTCTGTCTGGCCTGCTGCTACGCCATCCAACCCGACAAGCTCAAAGACCAGAAACGCACAATCCAACAATCGTGATTCAGTTTCGGTCACTGCACGCATCGTCCGTGTGCCACGGGCAGGAGAGCCGGCCAAAGCATCCGAACTCCAGGCTTCACCTCTTCTGTTTAATCACGAGCGTTCTGCACAGGGTAACATTGACAATACTCTCGCCTCGATTGACACCACCTCCAAACCTGTCCAGGGAGAAAATGATAGTGTCATGTCGCCACACAGCAGAGATGGCATAACTTCTCGCGGCTCAATCGACACCAGCGCTACAGGCAGGCGCAAATCGTTCGATCGCAAGTCATTCAAGAGTGTGAATGGTCCCTCCAGTCCGAAGAAGAATGCATTAAAGCAGAGTGCGACCATGCCACCACTAGACAACAGTCTCGACAAGACTAGCCGCACTAGCAGGTTCTTCAAGCGTATCTCTCATCTTGGTAAGGACAAGAAGAAGAGCGCTCCACAAGTGCCCACAATAACGACTACTCCCTCCGAGCCCATGTCTCCCACCTCTATCACTCGATCAGGACCAACCAGCCCTGCCGTTGTCGCTTCTGTCCCCGAGCCAGTTCAGGAGCCGAAGACTGAACTTGCACCTCCACCTGTTGCTCGCAACCCAGCAGTCGCTGCTGTTTCGGCACCCAAGCCTCGCCCAGATTCCATTGATGTTCCTCCTCCAGTGTCGATCGGAGATTTTAACGTACAGTTCCCAGATGCAATGCTCTGGAAGCGACGCTGGATTCAGATCGACAACACTGGTCATCTTATCTTTACCGCGGCTGCTCGCCACAGCAGTATTTCAAAATCGTTCAACTCAAAGTTTCATCTCAAGGAACTGGGCCCTCCCTTCATCCCCGATTTGGATAGACAAGAGATGCCACACAGTGTGATCTGTGATCTTGTGCAGGGAGAGGGTTCTATCCAATGTGCCAGTGAGGATGCCATGTCGCAACGCCAACTTTTGTCTCGTAAGTCATAGTCGTTGCTTCTAAGTCCTTAGACTTGCCATTGCTAACACCTTCTTCACAGTTCTTACTACTTACCACCAAGCCTGGCAAGCTGCTTAATTTCTGTCCTGAGGACCAGAAATCAGACATGCTCATCGAGAGACTAAAGGCAACACAGGATATTGTTGCCTCTTACCTTCAAACCCACACCCCAGCAGTTTTCCCAGTCAAAACGTAAACAGTCGCTCGCTCAGAAGCTTTGCTTGTCTTTAGATACCCCTTCTCATTTCTTCTTCCTTCTACTCCGCACGTTGCGATCTTCTATGTACGATAATTAAAATTCCGAGGCTTGCCTCATATTTTTCTTTTGTTACTTTATTCTCCATCATGCTCATCTGTGCATGGAAACTCCTGTCACGTTTTTCAATAGAGCGACAGCTGGGCCCGAGAGCCGAACCAGGAAGGTGGGTGGAACTTTTGTTGAAGATACTCTAATGCAGACACCCCTCGGTTATGCAACTGCATAACTCGACGTCGGCAAGTTTCCACCACCAACGCCGAGCGCTCTTGACCCGAACTTTCTTCTCCGGTCAACCCATCTCCATGCCGAGCGCCTTCTTCACCGAACGACAATGTGGACCACGACCACCATAGCTTTATCTTTGAGACGACGAATGAACATCAAGTTAAGTCAGTATGGTTACCCACCTTGTGTTTGAATAGATAGCAGCACGCCGAAGACGGCATTGCCGAGCCGGACCTCCCCTCGGCGAACAAGTGCGAAGTCGCTGATCTTGGTAAAAATCGTTCCCTTCGATGGTTCGGCATCGCAATCGTTTCGCCGCAGAGGACTCTCGAAGTCCTCTTGTATTGACGTAGATAATGCCTCTGACTCTTGCTTGAGTCTCTGTCTATGTTCTCTATCCTACATCCGTTGCTTCCTGCTGCACATTGTTTTGAAGTCCTCAAGCCACGATAAACCCATGAGACCGAGGCTTCAATCAGACATCTCAACAATTGATACATCATGGGATCTTCAACTGCAGCACCGCCGATAGCCAAGGAGACATTCAAAAAAGGAACGGACTTACCGACCTGGCACAAATTCGTTATCCTCTTCACTGTCAGTTTTATGTGTTTGGCCACGACGTTCTCGAGCACATGTCTATATCCAGCAACGCCAGAGATTGCGGCTGAGTTCGACACTACATCTGAACATATCAATGTCACCAATGCTGGAGTATTATTAGCCATGGGATCGTCCAGTTTGATATGGGCGCCCATTGCTAGAACCTTGGGAAGGCGGTCAGCATATAATGGTGCTATTGCCATCTTGTTCTTGTGCTCAATTGGCACGGCTTTATCGATAAATATGGCCATGTTCACGGCCATGAGGGTCCTTGCGGGCTTCCAGGGTACATTCAACATGGTCGCGGGTAGGTAAACGCCACACCTTGATCCAAACTCACCACAACTAAACTACCTTTAGGTCAAACTATCATAGCCGACATCTTCGACCAACGCAGAAGAGGCACTGCGGTAGGCTTCTTCATGGTTGGCTCTGTCCTAGGACCTGCGTTGGGTCCTCTGGTTGGCGGCATCATCGTCACCTTTGCCAGTTGGAGGATCATCTTCTGGGTGCAAACTGGCATGGTAGGATTGGGCTTGATGTTGTCCTTCTTCTTCGTTCCTTCCATCGCTCAACCACACCAAACCACCGATAAACCTAGCTTCAAACTCTGGGCCAAGTCGCAAGTCGAGATGCTCAAAATATTTACATTGCTCGTATACCCTAATGTCTTCTTCGCGGTAAGTCTTATGTTTGTGGGCCATGCAAAGCTTGTAACTGACAAACGGCTTAGGATCTTGCCTGCGGTTTACTCGCTTGGAACCAATACTCTTTGCTGGCTGCACCACGACATCTGATCAACCCTCGCTTCCACCTTACATCACCCCTCGTCTCCGGCCTCTTCTACATCTCGCCTGGAGCAGGTTTCCTATTAGGCGCTATCGCAGGAGGTCGGTTCTCCGATATGACGATGGCCAAAAAGATCAAGGAGCGTGGAGGAATACGAGTACCTCAAGACAGACTCAACAGCGGTCTCCTGGCCTTCTTCTTCATTATACCTGCTTCACAATTAATCTATGGATGGTGCTTGCAGTACGATGTCGGTGGCTTGGCTCTTGCCATAGTGGCTGCTTTCTTCACTGGCTTTGGTCTTATGGCTGCGTTTAGTTCTCTTAACACTTATTGCGCTGGTAAGTCTAGCACCCTCTGAAAGCATTATCGCTAGATTTCCCGATTAACGAGTTATGTAGAAGCGATACCCGAGCAGCGCACGGCAGTCATTGCATCCAAATATTTTATCCAGTACATCTTTGGCGCGTCAGGTAACGCTGCCATTGTACCCATGATTGACTCTATTGGTATCGGGCTTGCTGCCACGATAGGTGTTATCTTGTGTATCTGCGGTGGCGTTTTGGTTTGGATGCTGGCTAAGCATGGCGGTGCCATGCAGGCGTTTATCGATGCAAAGTTAGGTCATGTAGATACAGATGACGAGAAGCAAGGAGCATAGGTATATACCTTGAGACAGAAATCTCTCTGGATGCATCCATGGATTGCAATTTACTGTGCATTGAGACAGTCATATCTAGAACAGGTCGCTTCATGTGGGGAGACAGCATCATCAGTAGATCCGTCCAACTTAGAAGCCGTTATTCCGTATTAACATGCTTCACAAGATTAAGTGAAGGATGGCAGTATGATGAAGGAGAACAGTTCATAATAAGTATCTATCTGACAACCAGTCTATGTGGAACACCTGACGCGCAAAAGCAACCCATAATGACAGGCTAAGATATGAAAAATATGGCGTGTTTTGTACGGCCAGGTAAATGATAAACAACGATATGCAAAAAATGGTGAAAGAAGGTCTGTGCGAAGAGGGTATATGCCAGACGGATCTCGACAGAATGAAGACACCAAACAGAATAAGAAAAAGGAAAAACATGAAAGATCGTTTCTAAGCCTCAGCCACCATGGTGACTGGGCCGTTGCGAAGAGGTGCGCGATGGCCCTCGAAGCCCTCTGCAGGCCACCCTTGGTAGGTGACACCGTCGTCGACGACATCACCAGCCATGACAAGGGTGTGTTCGAGCAGCATAGTGTCCTGGCCCATGTTGGCACCAGACAGCAGTCTCGAACCGCTTCTGAGCACACTGCGGTCACCGACAACCAAGGGGTTGAGGTTGAAGACACCACGAGAGTTGATGTGCGAAACCAGCGATGCATCGTCGACGGCAACGCGGTCACCGAGAGTGAGAAGATCGGGCTCGGTGAACATCAGCGAAGGCAGACCACCCGAGAAGAGGGAGCAGTCCTTGCCGATGGTGGCACCAAGAGCGCGGAAGTACATGACAGCGAAGTGAGTACCAGTGAGAAGACCGACGACACCAGCGCCACCATAGCATTGACGGCGCAGCTTCTCGACCGTGAGGAACAACTGCCAACGTTGGCAGTAGCTGCTCTTGTCCCAGTCATAGTTACCAACCTGACGTCTACCAAGAAGGATCCACTTGGCAGCGACGACGATGGCAAGAGCGAGGACTGCCTGAACAGTATGGAGAACGGCGATGAAGGCGGCAAAGAGGGCGAAGATAAGAACTGGACGGTAGGGGGTCTCAGGGTTGTGGACAGGGTCGGATGTTTTGATGAGCTTGGCGACAAGTTGCAGGGCACCGATGGAAGAGATGTTCCAGTAGAAAGAGACGAAGATGGTAGTGAAGGTCGAGTAGAGGAAGATGGTCCAAGGGCCGAAGACGTGGTAGGGGGCTTGACCTTCGTAGAAGGCACGACCGAAAGGCGAAGAGGACGCAGCTGCCTGTTCTCTTTCGACCATGGTCATAGACGAGCTACTGCTCAGCACACCCTCTTGAATTGCTTTCTCGTTATCGGCCTTATCCTTCTCGCTCAATGTCACGCTGCTAGAATTGGTAGTGCTGTTCAAGCTGGGCATGCCGTGTTGGGTGTTGGCAGCATCCGAGGTGGTAGAGCGCTTGTTGCCGCTGAGGCACACAGCTTCGCCAGCCTTGCTTCCAACCCAGACCGTCTCCTGCTCATAGTACTTGTTCCTACGAGTCAAAGCACCGCTACCGAGAACACTCTTCTTGCCGACAGTGACACCAGGCAGAAGCACAACACGATCAGAAATCATGGCACCATCCTGGACACGGACGTAGTCACTGCCAGTACCGTCAGATGTGACGAGATGAGAGCGAGAGCCGAATACGATGTCGCTTCCGATGTCGAGGAGGTCAAAGTCCTGGAACGAGGGACCAGTTCCAGGCCAATATACCCGCTGTCCGACTTTGGCACCCATAGCACGATAAAGGACTGACGTTGCCTCATAATGGCCACCAAACAGTTCAGTAACCTTGTGGAATGCAGCGGGGGGTGCAACGGCCTTGAGCACGGCCATGCGGAAACGTTGGGCTTGCGATCTGGATTGGGCTGGTCCCGGAGTAAGTTTACCGATGGTCAAATCCAAAATCTTCTTGAGAACCCAAACGGCAAAGAACCACGTGAGCGGGCCTGCACCGGCACCAAAGATCTTTGCAGCGAAATGCCATCCGATACGATGAGGCACGGCAAACCACAGGATGATCGACATGACCTTGTCTGAAGTAGGCTTGGGCTGTGTCAACACGAGACCAACTAGACCACCGATCCAGGGTCCGCTCTTGCAAAGAGTGACAAGCAAAGAGATAGGAGTGATGAGCAGGAAAGACAGAATAGGGTGGGCTCCAGGAATCTTGCTAGCGGACAAGTCGCGGAACTCTTCGCTGGCATCATCAGCTTCCCAGCTCGATGAGTTAGGTCCAATGCATGCATTATCAGGCACCGAGGTTCCAGGAGCGACGATGGAGGAGAGACCGACACTTGCTGCCTTGCCAACACGAACATGACCGAGGTACATGCTGGTGTTCTGCTCGGCGCCAAAGCCTCTGCAGATGCACTGGTCCAAGTTTGCTCCGTCCTCGAGAGTAACGAGATCGTACTCGCGAATGATGGCGCGCTTGGCAATCTTGACACCCTTGCCAATCTTTGCTCCCATCAAACGGTAGTACAAAGTGGTGCCAAACTCAGATGAACCGAAGAAACCCTTTCCGAGGATAGTGATGATCTTGTCGGTGACCCACCAACGCGTGTGGTAAGGACCCCACATGGGATACATGCCTTCCTTGTAAGTACCGATGATAATCCATTTGAGGCAGATGGCAAGAAGTGGACAGACGACGAGAGTTACAGCCTTGGCGACACCAAGAGCGAGCATCAGGTTGAAAAGACGTCCGATGAGTCTAGTCGCAGTGATCCAGTCGCGGGTAGCACTGAGCATGTACATGAAGCATGTCCAAGTCAAGGCACGCTTCATAGGGTACAGCAAACCAATAGGGAAAAGCTGGATCAAGAGGACAATGGGGTTGGTGGAGCTGTAAGTCTTCTCGCAGCCGTAGTTGACAGGAATTTGCTCAGCTTCAGCAGCGGCATGCTTCTCATCAGTAGGACCACGCATTTCGTCAATATTCTTGGCCAATGCGCTGATCTTGCTGTGCACGAAGAGAAGATCGATAGGCAAGCGAACCTTGAACTCTTTACGGAGTTCAGACAACAAACGGCCAGCACGAAGACTGTCACCTCCCAAAGCAAAGAAGTCTGATTCGGGAGTAAGCTCGGAAGCAGCGCACGAGAGAATGCGAACGAAGACTTCGGCAATTTTGGCCTCAGTTGGAGTCATGTCTCCAGCGATCTCATCAGAGTCGGTCTCGATTAGCGTCTCCAGCTGAGCATCGTCGATAGAGCCCTCTCTATCTCTGGGCAGGGGAACATCGAGGCAATGGACCTTGCTGGGGATGAGGTAGCCATCGAGTTCGGCACGTAGAAGTGAGTCGAAGCTAGGGTAGCTTGACATGACTGGGGTGATAGTAGAGTTCTTGCGGGGAGCGAGGAAAGCTTCTGGGTATCCATCATGAGATGCTTTTCTTACAGCAATGTCGATCTCTGAACCGAAAACGGTCGAGAGCTTGCGAGACACAAACGCTGCATCGAAAGAACAGATTGAGCCTCCAATGCGTGTGCTAAGAGGAGTGTTTGGCGGAGGGCAAGCTGCTTCGAAATGGCGATCCGCCAGAGGAGTCTCGTCAGTGATTTCCTCCAAGCCCAGACGCTCTGCGAGCTTGATACGCAGCACCTTGTTGTTGTTCTTGGGAAGGTCATCCATGTACACAACGTAGGCAGGCCACTTGACCTGACTCAAAGAGTCCTTCAAGGCCTCTTGGACTGTCTTGATATCGGCACGACGGGCACCAAGAGGGGTGACTAGGACCACACCGGGAACCTCCTGCAACACATCATGGGGCATTGAGAATGCCAGAGCGGCGGAGACGCGACCGAAGAGAGGGTTACCTTCACGCTTGGCAGCGGTGACGACGGCTTCTTCAATCTCGAATGGAGAGATCAGTTCACCACCTCTGTTGATGACTTCCTTGCTTCTGCCAGTGACGTAAAGGTAGCCATCGGCATCCAAGTAGCCCATGTCACCAGTGTCGAACCAGCCATCGGCAGTGAAACATGAAGTGTCCAACACATCGTTGTCCTTCAGGTATCCACCGAAGACTGGTGCACCTCTAACGGCAATGCGGCCGACTGTGTGAATGGGGAGTTTGCGGTCATTGCCATCAAGAATGGCCATATCCGGACCGACACTGACACCGGATGTGCCAGATCGGTCGAGTTGATAATCGAGAGGTGGACTTGAAATAGGCATACACTCTGTCATACCGTAACTCGGAAGAACGATGCACTTGAAAGTGTCTCGTAGTGTGCATGCAAGCGAGGGCAGGAGACCACCAGCGGCGTTGCAAATCAACCTCATCTTGCTGTTCTCCAGGGCTGATGGACGGTTGCGACCTTCCTCAAGGATAACGGAGTGCATTGAAGGAGAGGCATAATACCAAGTCGGTTGCAAGTCTTCAACGACATCCCAGAACAAGTTGGCGTCAAAGGCTGGACAGCAGATTGTGGAGCCACCAGCCATGATGGGAGCGAACAGATTTCTGACGATGCCACCAACGTGGAAGAGAGGCATCATGTTGATGCAAATATCGTTCTTGGTCAATCCCCAGGACTCGATAACGAACCCTACACCGCAAATGATAGTGTGGACAGTGTAAGGAACGACCTTCTTCTTACCAGAAGTGCCTGATGTGAAAAGCACAAGAGCGATATCGTCGGATCCATTAGGCTTAGATTTCGAGCTGGTGACCAGGGGAGAGCCGTTGCTGTAAGTCATGTCGAATGTTGCGTCGTCCTTAGGATCAACAATGATCACTTCAACACCGGCCTCACGCACCCAAGAGCCGTCCAGTCCTAGTCGCTGAACATCCGGCCGTGTAACAAGGACTATGCTAGCTCCTGCTTGCATAACATCACTTTGAAACTGTTCCTGTCCTGAGGCTACTGTCACAGGGGCTGCTGTGTAGTATGTTGCGGTGGCCAGAAGAGCCAGTCCTAGCACGGGACCATTTGGTAGAGCCAATGCAACAACTGATCTAGTTCCAGTAGTCTGCTTGGTGGGTAAACTGAAATCTCTGACAAATTGATGTAGCCTTCGGTGGGTAATGGGGTTTGAAGAAGAAGCACCATAGATCGCAGGTGTATCCGGCTCGGGTAGTAAAGAGCGAACATCAGAATAGGTGTTCTTCATCTGTTGTGTTAAGGTGTCCAGAAGGGCATTGTGTTGTGTATCTCTGCCAGCTTTTACATCTTCAGGTAGAAGCTTCCACAACCTCGAAAAGCAACATGAGAGATCAAACGTTGGCCAGGATCCGGGTAATGTGTTGAGCAACGATGTGAGTAGCCGTAATGATGCAACAGCAGTGTCGGCAGATAGTGGTAACGAGGCAAGGAGGTTGGTTTTGTTGATGAAAGGGTCGTTTATGGCGGTATTCAAGCAGTTTGAGAGAGCCTCATGATGGCTTGTGGATAACAGTTCATCTTGAAAGACATAGTTGGCAATTGCAGTCCTGTCCATGGTAGATGATAATATGTGTGGACAATAGAGATGCAAAGCAAACGGACGGTCGTGTATAGTGACAAAATCAAGGAAATGAAGGGATACGATTGCCAGCCACGAGAGGCGTGCGAAGAGCCTATATGTATAAAGGGATGAGTAGAACAATCCCCCGATGATACCACCAGGCCCGTTGGTTCGGTACACCACCCTCTTCCAACGGTCCCTTGTCAGTGAACCCAAAATTTACGCCGTGACTCGCTTGACATGATCGGAGCTTGCAGCTGAGGCCGTAGAGACGCTTGAGACACGGCTATCTTTAGTGGAGAACATGTGGAAAACAAGCATAAGGGAGAACGATGTGCTAGAACGCGTAAAGAGCGTGGGTCCCAGTTCCAGGCAGGCTAAACAACTGCGCAGATCAAATGGTCAACGTGGATCTAGAAAAGGCAAGTGATCAGAGAAACTGGGCATCAACCAAATCACCTCCCCTTTAGTGCGTCGTGGTGCGTCCTGCAGAGCCTGCAGCTGGGTTGAGCATTTGGGATTGGCAATTGCAGACCTGCGGACGCCTACCGAGCTTTGGATAGTCGCTGGCCTCGGCGAAGCCGTTTTGAGCACCTGGAGGGCACGTCCGTGCCTCAATTAGTTGAGACTAACCTTATTGACATACCTGTGGCTCTGCACGTGAGGCTGGTAGAGCTGAATATCGAGGGCCTGGAGTCAGTAACACGGCATGCTCTAGGGCTACACTACGAGGTTTCATGTTGAGATGAACCCAGCAGGCTCCCATGTTCAGCATGATTTCGAGGAGCACGACGCTGCATCCCTGCAAAGTCCCGAGGGCAGAGTAACAGAGTAACGAGAGAGCCGCAAAAAACCTGGTCAACAAGCATGGGAAGCGCCGAATTTCACGTTCAACGCCAATTTAGTGAGGTCGAAGATCTTTTTCCGTTCAAGCTCTGCGGCTAGCCGTAGTCCGTGCGGCCTGGCCCGCGAGCTAGTCTGCAAGGTACCGCGCTTAAACAATCGCTCCCCGACAAGCAATGAGAGAAGCAGCTGAGAGAGGGCTTGGGGCGGCCAGATGGCGAAGGGGCATCTAGGTTTGCCAAAATTATCACGAGACATGGGGAACGGCAGATTGCCATAACTCAGCTTGCCGCTGTATGGGCTGAGCTGAGCTGAACAGCAGATGGCATCGGCAATTTTGAACTGTCAACAATATGAAGTCGATTCGAGTCGAGTCTAGTCGAGTTTAATCGATCTCGAGTCGGTAGACAAGAATCGCGTGGTTGACTCGGAAGGCCCGTAGAATTTTCGCCAGAATCTTGTGGTTGCCGAAAGTTTGCGCGCTAGCGATTACAAGTAGCACCTGCATATTGCTGCAGCGGAGGCTGAGAAACATAGGGGAGTCTAATTCAACATTCGATAGCTCAATCTAGCAGAAGTAGCTTGGACGACTCCCATCGCTGTGGTTCATACGAGGTATCGCGCCTGATCCGACGTCGACCATGCGATTGAGTAAAGATTTGGGATTGCCGTTACTGAAGTCGTGTTTCAATGCACAGACACAGCGATGTAACGTCATGGTCGAGAGAGCCGTTATGAGAGTTCTTTTGTCTCAGGCTGTAGCGCCGCCGGTGGAGAGCGGTAGCTGTAGTTGCACCTGTGTGGTTTACAGATAACTTTGAACTCTCGCGTGAGGCGCGAGGTCTCAAAGTCTCTTTCGGAGCTTTTTTCTCTATTTGATGGAAATGCTGTCATAGTACATACACAGACATCGGCAAAAGGGGCTTGTTGGCTAATGGTGTGAAGTCGATGCTCTTGCCATCAGTCAACCAAACAGAAAAACGTAGATCCGTAATCTCGTCGTACGTGCGAGAAAAGTCGACCTTGGTATCTTGCGATCGTCGCGACTGCATAATCAACGCGAGATGCCAAGCCAAGGCCGTCAATATGCGAATCCGCGAGACAAACTTTAGATACTCCTCATGCAGGAAAACAATAGGGCAGCATATACGATCTATTGAATCCTAGAGGACATCTTCTTCACCCCTTGCAGGATCCTATTGTCTTGGAAGGTCGACGCTAAATTTCACCTTGCAGATAAACGTGTTTGCACTGCGAACCTCTAGCTTTGTGACGGTTGACCAAGCAGCTGGGGTCACGACGTGACGTGTGGGACGACAGACAACGATATGGAGAAGTCGGACGAGAAATGACAAGGATTAGGAACTCCCGACCTCCGAAATCAGATCGGACGTCAAGAGTGGAGCAATAGGACAGAGAACTGACAACCACATGGCTTGTGTGTCAACCAGGATATGAGACTGCATGGTTTATGACTCCACCAACATCCCAGCATTCAGAACAATATCCGATTACACACGTACATACGTCAACAATTCCCAAGTGTCTGTCTTTTGGAGTGCAATGTGCACAGGGTAGCATTGCACAAGGTCTCTCGAAACAACTCGGGACCCACCAAGAGTCATGATTACCCCGGCTCTTGGTCGAATCGTCTCTAATTTACAGATGTATGTGCATTTCGATAGCTCGTCAGTCGTTCTGCGCCGTTGCAGCAAGGTAGGACCTTGACAGTAAGAGTTGTGATGGTAAGTGGATACTCCTTGCACAGACCACGAGCCTGATCATCTTAGAGCTGCACTGTGTAGATCCTGGGAAGATCCTAGATAACTGTAGATGGTTGAGGTGACCGTTGATAAGACGAAACATCGGTCGGTCGCATCGAGGTGCAAAAGTCTCTACACTTCCATGGATGCAGTCACCAATAAATCTCAAAGTCTACCATACACCCACCACAACACAAGGGGATCGTCTGAGGGCTACCAACGACCTCAACATCTTGGCATGTAACCGCTTGTTTCAAGCGTGATACGTTCGAACGATCTGCATCTTGAATGGTTTGAATGTTTCTATGCGCAGAGATTGCAATGGGGCTGAGCTCTTCTTATCGCGCAGAATCGGTATATCACCATCAAAATGATATCGTCTTTCTCGTACTAGAGATGATACGTTCGGGTCCTGGCTTTCCAATGTCTCTGGACGAGTCACTCATTCCCAAACGCATTGTACACTGTAATACCATGTTCTTTGAAGAGCCTGAGCCTGGTGCTTGCGGAATCTCCTCTGCCAGTGCATTTGAGCTAGTCTGCCAATTGCGGTCCGGGCCTGATCACCGAGTAGCGCTCTAAGGCTGTTTCTCTACTACGTCTATCAGCACGGCGACTTGGCATGACTAGGGGGGTGCGGAGACTCTCTAGTCCAAATCAAGTGGTGTAAAGCAGACCTCACAAGTCTACATGTCAGTGCTCTATACAGACCGACTGGGATCGTCCAGAGGTCCACTAACGTGCTCAACGGAAGAGCCGTGTGCATACAGATGCGAGTCCGACACCGCCTGATCCGCGAGGTAGCATTGAGGCCAACTCGTCAACAAAGTGTAGTCAGTATGGGATTTGATGGCAGAATGTAGCGATGATGCCCGTTGGGTCCCTCCACGTAACCATCAGCGGTGATCATACAGCGGAATTCTTGGCGTGTGGGTTGCTTCTGGGATAGCGAAGATCATCCTGCCAATGATAGCCTCACGTATTCGCTCGCCCAGATATACACGCGTACTTTTTCTCGAGTAAGGTACTAATAAGCTTTCAGTATGAGAGACCCTGATGCACGTCCTGGACCAAGATGTGACATCGAGAGAAGGATACTTTCTCAACTGATGCGATGGATACAGGCTGCTGATCCAGGTGGAGCGACTGACAAATGCCAGGGTGCTAGTTTGGACGCAATGGCTAATGTCAAGAGCACGAGGAACAGCAAGCATGCTCATTGATCCGTACGGCCGACAGACAGTAAGTCGATGCAAGAGCTCCAGAGTTGGTCAACGCGGACGAGCATGGTTTGGGAGGCAGTGCAATGACGAACGCAGCAGAGTTGGGAGGACTGGAGTTGAGCAATATCCATGAGAAGTCACTGACCAGCCCTTTGCGCTTGCTTCAGTGCTCAAGTCCCCCAGCACTTCCCCTCCTGCTTCCACCCTTTCGACTCATTCATGCAGATGCACAGTGATTTTCTTTTTTTCTTTATTCATGGAAGAGTTGTCGTTACGGCGTCCTCAACAGTGATCTGTGTAGGACATGCCTCGCCTGCCCGTGTGCTCGATCACGATCACGACGATAGGCTATATCAAGGCACGAACGTGTCCAAATGCAAGGAAGCCGACATGGTGTCTTCTCGGTGGATCCTGTCGTGATTCCGCAATCATTGTGTATTTTCGTAGCTACGCGCATCATACACTTCAGCACATTG